TAGATCTTGAGCAAAGATAGACATATCTCCTTTGCAGAATTAATGGTTTCCAACATTGGAGCCATGTGTTGGCTTCAACTTTTTTGATTGGCAATCTGGTGGTGCAAACTAAAATTGCTCCTGGGGGAACCCTGTCAATAGTAAATTTCTTTTAAAGGTTGTACCTGATGAGAACATACCTGCAGTTGAATATCATGTCATCTATTCAGAACACCAGCCAGATCTTCAGACTATTGTGCATCTTATTATACCCCGCACAACAAAGTTGTAAGGGGGGTATACTGGAATCAGCTTGTCCGTCCGTCCGGCTGTCCGTCCGGCCGTCCGTCCGGCCGTCGGTTTTTCATTTCCGCCCTAACTTAAGATTCCTTTGACCACAGTCTTCATATTTGGCATGGTAGTTAGTCATGATTTAGTAGAATGACCCCTATTGATTTTGAGGTCACCAGGTCAAAGGTCAAGGTCACAGGGGGCCTTGACTTTAAAAAGCTTGTCCGCCCAATAACTTAAGATTCTCTTTGACCTACAGTCGTCATATTTGGCATGGAGGTTAGTCATGATTAGTAAATGATCCCTATTGATTTTGAGGTCACTAGGTCAAAGGTCAAGGTCACAGGGGCCTTGACTTCAAAAAGCTTGTCCGCCTTATAACTTAAGATTCCTTTGACCCACAGTCTTCATATTTGGCATGGAGGTACGTCATGATTAGTAGATGACCCCTATTGACTTTGAGGTCACCAGGTCAAAGGTCAAGGTCACAGGGGCCTTGACTTCAAAAAGCATGTCGGCCCAATAACTTAAGATTCCTTTCACCCACAGTCTTCATATTTTGGCATGGAGGTTAGTCATGATTAGTAGATGACCCTATTGATTTTTGAGGTCACCAGGTCAAAGGTCAAGGTCACAGGGACTTTGACTTTAAAAGTTTGTCTGCCCAATAACTTTAGATTACTTTGACCCACAGTCTTTATATTTGGCATGGATGATGATCATGATTAGTAGATGACCCTTTTGATTTTGAGGTCACTGGATCAAAGGTCAAGGTCATAGGGACTTTGACTTCAAAAAGTTTGTCCACTCCTTAAGATTCCTTTGACCCACAGTCTTCATATTTGGCATGGATGTTGATCATGACTATAAGGTGACCCCTATTGATTTTGAGGTCACTGGGTCAAAGGTCAAGGTCACAGGGTCCTTGACAAAAAAAAGCTTTTCTTCTCAATTGCTAAAGAATGTCCTGTCCGCAATTTATTGATTTTGACATTTTCACATTTGAAGCATGTAGAATACATAACTTAGCAATGCACTGGCATAACCTCAGATTTTGCAGGGAGGTTGTCCTTGAGCTCTAAATGGCCACTGTTTATTCTTACAAAGTGGTATGCGGGGGTATTCAAGCCATGATAGTGGCAGTTCTAGTCTTTAATTGCCCACAACCACAACTCTATGTTTCAATTCTTTTACAAGGTATTCTGTTACTAGTAACATCCTCATTTCCGAAGCAGACTTGTGTGGGTATTAATCACATTTAGTGATAGTTCTAGTTTAATATCAAATATCTACATAAATAGTTTTGAACTAAAACTCAGACACTATGTTTTGAATAATTATACCCCCGCACAACAAAGTTGTAAGGGGGGTATACTGGAATCAGCTTGTCCGTCCGGCCGTCCGGCTGTCCGGCCGTCCGGCCGTCCGTCGGTTTTTTCTTGTCCGCCCAATAACTTAAGATATCTTTGACCCTTAGTCTTCATATTTGGCATGGAGGTTAGTCATGATTAGTAGATGACCCCTATTGATTTTGAGGTCACTAGGTCAAAGGTCAAGGTCACAGGGGCCTTGACTTCAAAAACCTTGTCCGCCCAATAACTTAAGATTCCTTTGACCTACAGTCTTCATATTTGGCATGGAGGGTAGTCATGATTAGTAGATGACCCCTATTGATTTTGAGGTCACCAGGTTAAAGGTCAAGGTCACAGGGGCCTTGACTTCAAAAAGCCTTGTCCGCCCAATAACTTAAGATTCCTTTGACCTACAGTCTTCATATTTGGCATGGAGGTTAGTCATGATTAGTAGATGACCCCTATTGATTTTGAGGCCACCAGGTCAAAGGTCAAGGTCACAGGGGCCTTGACTTCAAAAAGCTTGTCCGCCCAATAACTTAAGATTCCTATGACCCATAGTCTTCATATTTGGCATGGAGGTTAGTCATGATTAGTAGATGACCCCTATTGATTTTGAGGTCACCAGGTCAAAGGTCAAGGTCACAGGGGCCATGACTTCAAAAAGCTTGTCCGCCCAATAACTTAAGATTCCTTTGACCCATAGTCTTCATATTTGGCATGGAGGTTAGTCATGATTTGTTGATGACCCCTATTGATTTTCAGGTCAAAGGTCAAGGTCGCAGGGGCCTTGACTTCAAAAAGCTTGTCCGCCCAATAACTTAAGATTCCTTTGACCCATAGTCTTCATATTTGGCATTGAGGTTAGACATGATTAGTAGATGACCCCTATTGACTTTGAGGTCACCAGGTCAAAGGTCAAGGTCACAGGGGCCTTGACTTCAAAAAGCTTGTCCGCCCTATAACTTAAGATTCCTTTGACCCACAGTCTTCATGTTTGGCATGGAGGTAAGTCATGATTAGTAGATGACCCCTTTTGATTTTGAGGTCACCAGGTCAAAGGTCAAGGTCACAGGGACTTTGACTTCAAAAAGTTTGTCCACCCATTTACTTAAGATTCCTTTGACCCACAGTCTACATATTTGGCATGGATGTTGATCATGACTATAAGGTGACCCCTGTTGACTTTGAGGTCACTGGGTCTAAGGTCAAGGTCACAGGGACCTTGACAAAAAAAAAGCTTTTCTTCTCAATTGCTAAAGAATGTCCTGTCCGCAATGCATTGATTTTGACATTTTCACATTTTAAGCTTGTAGAATACATAACTTAGCAATGCACTGGCTTAGTAACCTCAGATTTGGCAGGGAGGTTGTCCTTGAGCTCTAAATGGCCACTGTTGATTCTGACAAAGTGGTATGCGGGGGTATTCACGCCAAGATAGTGGCAGTTCTAGTTTCCTTTGCAGCCATGGTTTGTTCTGGTTTCTAATGGGCCATGATTGTACTAGGCATTGGTGTATTCCATCATCTGAAAACAGAATCCATTCATGCTCAATAACTATAAGATTGATGCAGACACTAAAATATATTATTCCCTGAAATAAAATATCAAGACAAATAAGCATGCATTAAAAAATGGCAAAGAAGTCAGCCTTCAACAAGTTTCATGAAACATTACTAAGCATTTCACATTTACTTTACATATAAAATGCTTACCATAAACCTATGAAGTATTCCACATTATGCATCAAAACATCTTGCATGCATTAATTTTCTTGCAACAAATGACAGTTATGTATTGCTATATAGAATTTTATCTAAATAGTTCTTGGGCAACAGAATAATCATATAAAAATATCAAACATTCAAACAAAATCAAATATATAATAATTGTTTACTTACCATGAATAGTTTATAGTCTGTAGCAGTTTTATAACTAAACCAGAAATGAATGGTTGTGTCTCAATTCAACTCCAAAAGGATTTTATTGGCTTTCTTTAGTGCTACCTGAAGATTAAACCATAACTTGCTTAAGATTTAGAAGAAAAAAAATCAATTGTGGAATTCCTTTTCATTTTAGTGAAAAATATTCTACATAAGAATTGTATATATTCAGTCTTCACCAACATTTACTACATGTACTATAGGACATGAATCTGCCCTTGTTATTAACAACAAATACAGCAGTATTGCATGCAGTGATAACACCAGTCTATTAAAAATTCTTAGTTTAAAAGGGATATAACTTAAAAAAATATTGCTTTCACAGTCATTGAATTTAAGATTTTGAATTCACTGGCCCCAATTCCCGTTTTGAATTTATTCTACTATATATTTAACTACATTTTCTTAAAATTTACACTGGCCCAAACTAATTTTCACTGGCCATGGGCCACCAGGCCAGTGCTATATTCAATGACTGCTTTCATAAGAACATGTATGCTCCCCTGTTTAACGGATTCGCGCAGTCTGATCAGGATCTATGCTGTTCGCTATCAGTTTCTCTACTTGTTATAGGGTTTGTAAGCAAACAACATGGATCCTGATCAGACTGCGCGGATGCGCAGGCTGGTCTGGATCCATGCTGGTCGCAAAACCATTATGTTGGTTTTGTCATGACGCTGCTCATATATATTTTTTCACAAGTGGATTTAAGACCTACAGTATAATGACCCTCTATTATTTTTTCACCTCAGTGAACAATTACCTATAATAATATTATGGAGTCATACAAATATCAAACTCATCATTTAAGATGACAACAAAATCTTTCAATTGGACCAAAATTAACCATGTAATGCATGTTTTTTTTTTCTTCTTCTAATACAGTATTATATGCCACTTAAAAAATGTCATAATTGTTTAATATTTAAATCATATGAATATCTGATCATGATATTATATGGATCACATCTTGACATGTATATATCCATTAATTGGTTCAATAAACTAATAAAAAAACATGAATTCAACAGTATTTAAGATTAATCAGTTTTTATATGAATTATATAAGTAAATTAGTTATAAATGCATGTATATAGTTATATAGCAATTTTGAAAGGTATTATTATAACCTGTCACTTTCGACAAAAATGGTGTACTTACTCTCCTCTGCATATGCACTGAAGTCCAGGTCATCTTTGATGTCCCTGGTAGTGGTATTGCAACACATGATGATGATGAAATTGATTTATTTCTGTAATTGAAAATATAGCATACTAGTACCATGGCCTAAAATCTTGACTATTCAAACCAATTACAATACATGAATTGCTGCACTGCTTATAAGGAAGAAGGGTTGTCAATAAGAATTATCTAACGTTTCAAGCACAATTATGGTTATTGTCCATGATTATTTTCCAAATTGTGAAATGCTGAAATTTTACTGCAAAAATGATTCAAATGAGACAAAAATATTGATTTTTGTGCGATTTTCCAGACAACACTTTATTTTTTCTACTTTATTTCTTTGAAGATTCAACAACCCTGGATAGTAGATCAATATATCAGACTTACGGGCTTGTTATTGCTTAAATGTCGGTCAAGGTTGCCCAAAAGCAAAAATATCTCAAAATCAAAGGACGTCACATTTATAGGACTACCCTTGATAGTTGAACATGCTTTGAAGAAATGCCTGTTCTGCTAGTCAATAGTTCTAACCCTTTTTGAGACACATGTGGCTAATCTATTTCACAGCATTGTAGTTACTACAGCTTACAGTTAAAAACAATAATGTGATTGGAAAATAAAATTTATTCAAAATATAATTTTGTTGTGTCATAAATGATTCTTAAAAGATAGTGATTGGTCATCTTAAACGATATTACAATGGTTACAATGAACATACGCCATAAAATTGTAAAGGATTATGCTCAGTCGATCTTTTATTTAACCTGTTATTGTTAACAATTTATTGGTACGAAAATTACAGTGAACGAAAACTTGATACACAGACGTGGATCGGCAAGCTTAATTTCTATATCATAAGTCAAAACCATCGTAAAAACTATAACACAATATCTGTGTTTATATGTTCGTAGGTGAAATTTTTCTATAAGTAGATCTTAGACCAAGAAAAAATTAAATGCAAACAAAAAAGATGATCTCACCTGTCAATCAGATAACAACTTCACGGTCGCTTTTGGTTTTAATCACCCTTTTTAGAACTTTTCGTCGCTTTGAATCACTACCGGAGTATATCCTTGATTGAATTAAATCACAGTTTCTTCCCACTTTTCGCTTTTTCCTTTTCCAATCTCAAAATTTATTTCTCGTATACGTGACACGAATCCGGGTCAGCTCGGCCCTAAAACATACTCGGCCCCCGAGTCAGCTCGGCCCTATTACAACTCGGCACGGGTCAACTCGGCCCACTTTTAAAAATGGGTAAAGGACATCAAAGGACTCCTATTGTCACGGGCTTTTATTATCAATCAATGTGTTTGTTAACGATACCGATTAATTAGGTGATAATTATGATTGACTCATTCATTCAAATTTGATTAGTGACCACCTGCAATTAATTAGAAGATTATGCTATTAAGTAAACACGTTTTTGTTTCATATTTTTTTTGAAAATTACTTTACAAACAAAATGCATCTAAGGAAACACATTTTTATAATATCTGTATTCACAGGCATCTGGGAAGAGAAGATATGAAGTTATTTTATCAATCTGTTCATATTTTTTCTTCCAGGTTCGATAATCGTGCCTGTGTTTATATTAATTTTATCGAATCTGCAAGACAAATAAATAACTTATTTTCTAAATATACCTTATTTCAGCAGAGGTATAATGTATAATTATATAATAATAATAAGATATTTCTTATTATTCATTTACCTTAACAACATGCAAAACAAAGTAAATACGTTATAGGCCTATATATTTTTGGAAAGTGGGCCGAGTTGACCCGTGCCGAGTTGACCCGTGCCGAGTTGGTATAGGGCCGAGTTGACTCTTTTCCCGTGACACACCTTTCGTATTGTCCGCCATTATTTTGGTTTGGTAAATCATATCACGTGACTCAGATCCGAACATTTACGGAAATAATCGAAGGGCTTCCCGCCAAAATATAAATCTAATTTGACTAACCCAGTCAAATAAGAAAATGCATTTTTTAGAATGGTCAGAAATGTTACGGAGAGCGTTTCTAAGTTGGAAAACTTTGTCAATACTAGTTAAATAATGCATTTGATAACAATAAGGCGTTTATTTGACAATCTGTTTTGATGAATTTGACCAGGAATATAACTTTAAGTTATGTTATGGATTATGCCTGAAGTTATAACAGATTTTCCAAGCTTTGAATTCAGAACACTCCATTCAATGTTCTAGGGATTTCAATATCCAAGTACAAAATTTCAGCAACCAATAACTTGATCAGACTGGAGTTGAAGGTAAGCCTTGCTATATTCTAACAGCAAAGGCTATTCACTTTTGGTTCTAGAAGGTTAAGGGTTGAAATGGTATCATGTATATAAACAAGATTTGATTGAATTTTTTTAGATGAAAATGAAGAGGTGAAGACAGAGAAGAAAAAGACAGCCACTGTGAAAGGTTTATCCGATCTTGATGTAAGTTCCTATAACTCTATTTTCATTGCTTGATGTATTGAAATACTTTGCCAGATTTAAACTGGGTGAAGGGTCCATGGCAGAGTGGTTATGGTTATTGACTTCAAACCACTTGAAGTTTAACTGCTGTAGGTTCAAATCCTGTCAGGGACTTTGGATACTTTCATGTGAGGAAGATATCCAGCTAGATTATATAATGTCAGTGATTAAATTAGAAAAATGTTGGTGTGTTTAAAGTGCCACACATACACTGCTAACAAGTGCATTATGGTCAAGATGACAGGAGACTTTTCCCTACTTTTTCACCTTCGCCCTTCTTCAGCTTGATTTTATTTCTGAATTATTCCCCATAGTTATCACACACTGAGATTAGTCAGATGAATATGTTTGTCCTATAACTCTTGTGTCTCTCATATCGAAATTCAGTTTGCTTTCTATATAAAAATAATAAGGATAAGGCACAATACTTTGTGCATATAATCTTGCATTGCTGTTGTAGAAGTGTTTTTGTCATCTTTGAATTTTATCACAATGTTTCAGTATCTAAAGTCTAAAGTTACCAGTAAAGATACAGGGGGAATGGATGATTCTGATTATGATGAAGATAACAATGAGGACAACAATGATAACATGGTCTCTACAAAAAAGCTGAAAGACAAGAAAAATGAGGTAAGTATTTAAAAATTGATCACCTTATTTTGGGAAAGTTACAAATGCATAACATAGGTGAGAAAGGTCTGGCAGGGCAATTCTTTCACAAATATGGGAAATGGTCCTTCCTTTAAATTTGGGGACAAAGTAACATGGTATTTTTGCAAAAGAGGAAGGAAAATACTTTTAGTGGGAAATGAAATATTTTTTATAAGAATTCTAGAGGGGGAAAGACCTATAAACAGCCCCTGCTATAGATAGAAAGAAAGCTCTGTCTCGTATACTGTAGTATAACATGGATTATTGGGAATTCGGGGCAGTAACACCAAACATAAAAGTCAACTGCTAAGTTTGAAATACATTTACTATGAATGTCAGTAGTTTGGCAGCTTAAATGTCTAAAAAGTTATAATTATATGTACATGACATTGTATACTTTACTGATCATGATTACTTTCTTTACACTGCAAATAATTGTTAATATGAAAGTTGTTGTTAATATGAAAGTTGTTATGGCTTTAAAAATGAGAAATGTCCTACTAAATTACCAGTACCTAATAAGTGAGAAAGTAATTGTTTGATTTCACTGTTTTCTTTGCAGGAAGAGAAGAAAACTCTGTTTATGTTGAAAATGAAAGGCATCCCTACAAAATGTGGAGAGGTAATCACATTAAAATGTTGTTGTTTCTTATCCCTCACAAATTCTAGCAATGTTATTTTGATTTTATAAAAAAAATATTATCATTGATTAACATGATTAAAATATGAATAATGATAATAGATCCGGAACTTTTTCCATTCTAATCCCCCGGTACAAACAACTTTTACTGTTATTGCTTCACGGTGCACTATCTGTCACAATAAATTGGTCAACCTGTTGCACTTATTTCGAAGCTGTTACTTTAAAAAAAATTGTTTGTACCCCGGATTAGCTGGGAAAAACCCAAAACATTCTTAAATCTGGAGTAAGTCTTTTGATATATAAACAATTAAGGGTAAAACAACATGCAAGTTAATTTTATTACAAGTCATGTAGTTGATAAAAGTATGACTTCTGGCAATGGAAAAGTTAATATGAAGTTAGACAGCCTCACTATAGTTTTTCAAAAACAATGATTAAAGGGGCTCCACTGAGGTTATTGACATGACCAGACTGGAAGTATTTTTCCAAGATTTCATACCAATTGATATAGGGCTATGCCAGAATGATTAAAACTTGTGAGCAAGGATTTCAGAGAATTTACTAATCTTTCCAGAACAATTTTTTTTGCACAAAAAGACCTTAAAACTACAGTCAAGCCAAGAATCACATTTAAATATCGATTTTCAATTTCATTTTGAAATTTTTTCTGTATAATCTTTTTCATATTTTCCCATTTAAAGTGCATCAGTTGATCAATGTAAGAATTTAAAATATTTTTAGGTTTTTAGAGTGGAGCTTCTTTAAAATTACACGCTGGTTTCATACTTAATACAAATTTGTCTTTTATTATATAGGATATATATATTGTATAGTATTATAATTCCAGAAAGCTGTACGAGAATTTTTCAATCCATTAAAACTAGCAAAGTTGCATGTTGCTAAAAATGCTGCAAAAAGACCTATTGGTAAGTGGTGTCTGCATTTTGTTATAAAGTTTAATATCTATTAATGTGGATGTGTGTCCTTGAGACAGTTTCCCACTTGGATGATTAAAGAAAAATGATAGTTTCCATTGCTACAGTGTCTATATCACATGGCTTTTTGTGATCTATCTTCTTTTATCAAATGTTTGAATAATCAGAGAATATTTCAGCTCAGATTTACTTCATGCGAAAAAATACTGACTTTATTACCCCAGTCTGTGCGAAAGTCTGTCGGTCCTCGGACCTCGCCAACTAAAATTCAGGAGGGCCGAGATAAATTTCTATACAGTCAGTCCTCGTGTCCGAATAAAATTTCAGCCAGTTTGAAAATTTTTGGCCTTCTGAAATATGCAAAACTTCCAAGATCGATCTTTTTTTTTTCATTTTTGCTTGTATTCACAGACCCAGATAACCAAAATCACCGCAAGATACAACCAGTTTTTGCTAAGTAATGTAAGCCACCATCTTGTCTTGGATAATTTCCTTACCAAAACATATTTTGTCTCCAACCTTTGAAAGATGTATCGTTTTCTTGTGAATTAAACTAAAGTTTTATATATTATGTTTTTGTATATTTTTTTCATAGTATCTGAGAGTTAAGTCTGATAATTCATATTTTCTAAATATTTTTGTTTATAATTATGGCAACATCCCTCCCCCACCCCTACAAAAAAATACCTTTCAGAGTCCGGGCCGGGAAAAAATCATCAGGGCCGGAAATAAATCTAAGGATCCCAGTCCTTGTGGCCGGAATTTTTTTTTGACTTTCGCATTGACTGGTATTACCCATAAAACATTTTCTAAGTATGGGTTACTTATAACCAGAGCAGTCTCTACACTTTATTTTGTAAATAATTATCACATATTAAAAAAGTCATTAAAGACAATACTACCTAATCCTAGATCTTAAGTATTGGTTTTCCACCCACACTCAGATCATAAAAAGTCACATTGTATAGGTACTATGTCTATTACATGTATTAGTGTATTTTCTAGCTGGTGGTGTGATATACTGTATTCCTAGAAAAGATTTCGCGCATTTTAAGTTAGCGGTTTTCGCAGTAGGCATGATTCCGCGAATCTTTATGGCCGCAAATATGTAACTTATAACAAATCCGCGAACATTTCTAGCTTCAACCAAATATAACATAAAAAGTGCAGAATATTTATTATAATCTACTTACACAAAACAACATATAAACAAAGGTGTTAGAGAAATGTGTAAAGAATTATTTATGTATGTTATTGATACTAATTTTCACGCTGAAAAAGAAAATATCAATTATTAGTAATTAACATGCTTATTGACGTTATTTGCTAGTCACGGCGTTGACAAACGCATTTACAGTTTGCGAACATTGAATGACTTGGATTTCATTTGCTTGGAGTAGGTGTAATCCTTTGTTAAAAGTACAATAGCGATCAAGTGCTTACATTGATAAACAGCTGTTATGTTGTTATAATGAAAGCTATGTACAGTTCGATAATGTGTATAGAAATATGTATCAACATTTTGGAGATAAAGTCAGTTATGACTCAAATGAGAATAAAAGCTAACGGGTCTGACTAAATCTTACTTAATAACATAATGAAAAGGTAAGGAAATATGAAAGTGTTCACGGAACAACCGTCCTTGTTCGACTACTATGAACATGTATCGAGTAACGTTGCGCTTTAGGCGCGACTTGTTCAAAAAATTTAAATAATTAAAAGCACCCCCAAAGCAAGTCATGCACCAAAACTTACCTCCAAAACTGTATTTAGGCCGTAGCGAATTAAAATTCGCTTAATTCGCGGTTACCACATATCGCGAAGTTTGTCTCCCGCGAAAATGCCGACGTTTGTGAAAAAAACGCGAATATTGTATCCGCGAAATTTCTAGGAATACAGTAATCACATTATTTCTTTGTTATCATAAATGTTACCAAATGAACAGAATCTGAAAATTGCAATGATGATGATTTTGTATTTAAAGTCAGGGACAATCATTCAGTTTCATGAAGGACATACCCTTTCAACCTATCAAATAACACCGTATTCTAATTCTCACGAAGTAAAACCTGAAAATGATTAAAAACTTTAATCCCTTTAAAAAACGTTTTTATTAGAGTGTTAAAAAAATTGGTTGTATTGCATGATTGCTCCTTATGCTAGAGCATCTGTGGTGGGTTAGGCATTCAGTTTTGTCAGAAGCATATTTTCTACATGCATGGAGAGATACAAGTATTACTTTATGTTCACCAGCACAAGATAGTGTCACACTCATGACCCCGGTCTGTAGGTAACAGGATATTGTCACACTCATGACCCAGGTCTGTAGGTAACAGGATATTGTCACACTCATGACCCAGGTCTGTAGGTAACAGGATATTGTCACACTCATGACCCAGGTCTGTAGGTAACAGGATATTGTCACACTCATGACCCAGGTCTGTAGGTAACAGGATATTGTCACACTCATGACCCAGGTCTGTAGGTAACAGGATATTGTCACACTCATGACCCAGGTCTGTAGGTAACAGGATATTGTCACACTTGTGACACCGGTTTCTAGGTAACATAATAGGATCACACTAAGAGGTCAGATAAAATTGCTTCTTCCAAATGAAAGTTCTAAATACATTGAGTAATTATAATATTATCTTACGGGAAGTTACCATAAATGTTTCCCATTTTGATGGGGATTGAAACTCCCAAAATCCAGGTCCGTGTGGCCAGGGTCAAGGTCACATGCAAAGGTTATATAAAACAAAAAAAGAAACTATTGATGGATTCTAATGTAAATGTTCACCATCATGAAACATCCTGATTGGCATATTTTGAAACAAGATGGCACTCTTGTTTGATAAACTGGACCACTCAAGATAAAATTGATCATAACTAGACCTCTTTTTGTATATATTCAGTGTTTTTTTTCACCAAAATATTTGGCGAAATTCTCCCCATTCCCCCCTCAAAAAAGTATGTTTTTTTCCCCCCTCAAAGCTGAAATTTCCCCCTATAATATGGCAGCCCAAGTTTGCCTGCAATGAATATCATTTTTTGCAACTAACTGCCGAAAAATGCTTTATTTTATGCCTGTAAGACTTACTGTAAAGCAAGGTTTTTCATATAGGTAAGGGGAGCTACTCCTGGTATCCCAACAAGTTTATCATGTGACACATCAATATTTTAGATCCGTATAAAAATCCCCCTCCTATTGCATTTTTCCCCCTCCAATGGGCACCGACCCCCTTCCCCCAAAAGTGAAAAAAAACACTGATATTTAACATAGCTGAATCTTACTCACTTTAGTAAAATGTTTGAATATAAAAAGTTGAATTTTCAGTTGATCAACCTGTTTTGTTTTTCAGCTTGCCATTATAATTTTTAGGGAATTTCAATTTTAAACAACTTAAGTTATCGTTTATCCAGGTATAGCCTATGTAGGATTTGAAACAGAGAGTGACCTTGATCAAGGGTTGAGAAGGAACAAGAACTTTATAGGAGGTAAAAGAATATTTCTGAAGAAATGCGACCAGGAACAAGAAGATATACCTGAGACAGAGAAGCCGCGGCCCTGGGAAATTAAAGTAAGGGCTAGAATATTTATATAATAAGTTGAAGTTAGTGCAATAACGTAATAAGTAGGGGTGTGGATCGTCGGATAAGTGACGAACCGATCCGAACCACGATTCAGCACTAACGATTCACAAATCGAACCACAAATCTTTTGTAATCAAGACACCCATAAAAACATGTACATTAGTTATAAAAACATGTTTATTTTTTTTTTTTAAACCAACAATACTAAACATAAAACATATAAAATATAAACTAGGTTTATGTTTTTATTCTTTGGATGAGTATTTTTTATTTTTTTAAACCAATTACTTCCTAGCTCAGCATCATGGTACATGGTCTTTAACCGGCAAATTGTATTTAGGTAAATTTATAGGTATAATTTATACTCAAATCGTATTTTTCTCGATTTTATGAGTGTGAGAAACAGTGAATGTATATAAAAAAATTTGATCGCGATCCATGATCTCTGGGCTTACGAATATTCAAACTTGATTTTTCACTTTGATTCGTGATTATCCGAGTACTCGGATACTCGCCCCAGCCCTAGTAATAAGTGCTTCTATATTTAATAGCAGTTATTGCACTAAGGTGACAATATATTGCTTGACTGTTTGAAGAATAGGATGAGTTATTGACTCAAATTGGAATCCCTGTCACACTTTGGTTAAGTTTTAGCATGCAAGTTTTAGTCATTCTATTTTCTCTACTTAACTGATTTCATAAAGTAAAAAAAAAATGTTTACATGGAAAAGTAAGCCTTTACATTAGACAAAATGTCATAGAAAAAAAAATGTGGTATGATTAAGCATTAAGGTGACTTTTGTCCACTATTCAGCTATTCAGTTTGTTTTTATAGAACTGTTTCTATTAATAAAAAACAGTTGCAAAGGAGACAGTGGTTGAAAGTATAAAAGATTAGATTTTTAGGGGACTGGAAAGAAGCTTTATAAAGCCATTCTTCTGGAATTTAATAAGATTAAAGGAGCATTCAGCTTTTATTTTCTGTTGGAAAAACAATTCTGTGTTATTTCAAAGTAAGTATCTCCGTAATTTTATCTTGGAAAATTTTTTCATATCACTGTTAAAACTTCTTCAAAACTGTATCCTGAGAGCTATGTATAACTCACCAGTGATGTTTGTTTCTAAGATTAAAAAGTTGGTGGAAAAAATAATTTAAATATAGAGAGCAGACTGGTAGAGGTATCGAGTGGTTTTCTGATTGTTTATGTACTTTATCATCTGCAAATTTTTTTTTCTTATGATTTGACAATTATATGAAACAATTTATCTAAAACTATCATATTTAGCTTTAGAAAAGCTGGAGGCCGCTTTAAGAATAAGATAGGACTACTTTAGTCAACAGTATATACTTCTCACTGTGTGTACTTGTAAAAGTTTCATATGTGTTTCCATTACAGAATGATTCAGAAGATTGTGAAGGTATAGCAGAGGTAATTATTATTTTATTTCTATATCTAATCCTCTCTGTTCAGAACAAATAAGCTTAGGTTGTTAAGAAAAGTGGTTTGTTCTGAGACAGATCATTTATATAGCTTTCAGATGACGTTATAAAAAGGACATTTGTTTCATTTTTTTATCCATTATAAGTTTTATGTGACACACAATAAAAGGTGATTATTTTTCAGATGACGTTATAAAAAGGACATTTGTTTCATTTTTTATCTATTATAAGTTTTAAGTGACTCTGACACAATAAAAGGTGATTATGGAGATTTTCATTATTTGATAATGGAAAAGTGAAAAACTTTTGAGAAATAATGGTAATAGTATTTTTGAGTATAATTGTGCCTCTAAGTAGGATTTTAACTATTTGACAATGATGTGTGCAAGCACCATTTATTCTTGAAGGTATTCTTAAACATATTTCCTTTATACAAGCTACAGTTTTGAAATAATATTCTGTATACAAATTAAAACATTTATTTCGTAAACTAAAGGCAGCAGATAAACATGTATAGCTTATTATACACTTTAAAATTTAATTACAGACAGGGAGACTTTTTATCAGAAATTTATCCTACTCTTGTACAGAAGAAGATTTGGAGAAGGAGTTTAAAAAATTTGGTAGGAATAATTAATGCAATCATTGCATAAATTTGCATAATTTATACAGCATTTATCTATATAAAATTAAATATATTTTTGTATATATAACTGATGTAAGAATTGAAAGATACTTTGGTAGTGTTCATTACACACATTTATTATTTAATAACTAAAGTTGTTTTCAATTATACAAGTCAGTTAAGTAAGCTTTTTATCATGTTTGTTAGTTCAGATTATACAAGTTCATTTTAGTTTCATTTCATTGGAAGCAATAATTTCACTGAAACATTCTTGAATCCATTTCTTAAATAAGCCTCTACTAAGTATTGAGTGTAAAGTGTTGTGCTCATGCACACAACAACTAATCCTGCTAGGATTTTAACCCCTGCAACCAGCAATCCTTAGATTACTATTCTGAAGCGTTAACAACTCAGCTAAATGCCAATTCAATGTGTTTATTGTAAAGTTCAGAATGAAATTGTTTTCTTATTACAGGTCCCTTGACAGAAGTAAAATGTCCTGTGGACTCGCTAACTAAGAAGGTGAAGGGATTTGCGTTTATTACCTATATGATGCCGGAGCATGCGGTCAAGGCTTATAGTGCCTTAGATGGCAAAGTTTTTCAGGTAAGCTGTAACCTTTTGGACATTTTAACTTAACCTCTTAATTTCAATTTCATGAATTCACATTTCAACTTCACAAGTTCATGATTTCAACTTAATGAATTCATATTTTGACTATTTCAGCTTTGTGAAATCATAATTTCGGCTTCACGAATTCAAGTTCTTATGATTTCAACTTCTATGAATTCACAATTTTAACTTTGTGAATTCGTAAATTCAGTAAGTTGAAATTGTGAATTCATGAAGTTGAATTCATGAAGTTATATTTGTGTTATCGTGAAGTTGGAATTGGAATTCATGACTTCAATATGTTGAAATTGCTATGTCATGAAGTTGAAATTGTGAATTGATGAATTTATAAAGTAAACATGTCCTTACCAGTCTTTTATAGTTAAGAAGAGTTTTAATTTTTCAGGGAAGAATGTTACATATTTTACCAGCAAAGGAGATGAAAGAAACAGAAGAAGAGAGTGCAGGTAAAACATATCAATAACATAATAGTGAAACATGAAAAATCTACTAAAATTCATTTTTATGGTTCCTCATTAACACCAGTATAAGATGGACTGTGAAGCAGACTTCATTTTAATTTGACTGTTTTGAAAAAGTTATTATGATTTCTGTATTGTCTTTGTTGTGTAAAAACTTTATTGTAGCTTATTTCTAAAACACTTAAAGGTGGTATCAACACGAATTTTGGTGTACTTAATAATCATGACTAGATGTAGTTGTGAAAAGGGGCATAATTCTGAAGCAATATTTTAGGAGTTTTTAATGTTTTCTTCTACAGAAGGGTCATCTTACAAGAAAAAGAAAAGTGCAAAAGACAAAGCAAATGCGACAAAGTAAGTTAATTTGTAGTTGCTATAATCTTCCTGTAAGTTGAAGTATATGAGATGCGTCACACGATAAAACCTACATAATGGGTTTGCGACCAGCATGGACCAGACCAGCCTGCGCATCCGCCCAGTCTGTTCAGGATCCATGCTGTTCGCTTACCAACCCTATTACAAGATGAGAAACTGATAGCAAACAGCATGGATCCTGATCAGACTGCGCGGAAGCGCAGGCTATCTGGATACATGCCGGTCGCAAACTCACTATGTTGGTTTTGTTGTGTCGCGGCTCATATAAAAGAGCATGTGTACAAGTTTTTAGGCATAAGCTACCTGCTTATACCTGAGATAATTCTCGCATATGTCTCTACCATTACTTCTTAACAAGTATTACATTACTGTTTGAAAAAGTGATTGAAAACGAAATTCATTATATGCACAGACTTTGGGTATTTCAATGTCTCATGCATGAAATATTACGCTGATTGGCTTCTGCTGTTTATATTGTGGACCTCGCATGCCTCTGCTATTTCTCTCACTGAAGTGACCTCGTATGCTTAAGAGGTTCAGATTAATTTAAAACCAAGCAATGTGGTTCTGACTTTCTTTGTGTTATGAATAAAAACATTGTACCGCATATGTGGTTAATTTTCAAGAGTTTTGGTTACTGTGTCACATTTATTCTACATGTATATAAACTTTCACAGGTGTCTATTATATTTCTAATTATTTTTTTAGGTCGTTTAATTGGAATTCCTTATTTCTTGGGGCCAATGCAGTGGCTGATGTTCTAGCTGATAAATACAAGACCAGTAAAAGTGATATACTTGATACAGTATGTATACATAACTTTCATTTTATTATTTTGCTACAGTTTTACCTCTGTTCAGTGGGTCTCCTTCTTACCACGCACTGTTTTTAGCTTATAGGTATGAAATCTATATAAAACCTACATCATATGCCATTGAAATAAAACAAAACAAACAAAAATATCAGTTTTAAGATAATTGTTTGATAAAATTGGAAAAATGTATTTCATAGGAAAAGCTAGAATCGTTCATATAAAGGTCATGTTGCAATATGCAAGAAAAATGAATTATCCAAACAGAGGACAGTAATGAAAAAGTGAAATTGATTTAATTATCTATGTAAGTGAAATGACATTCTGAATATTTTGAAGTGATATTGAATAAGAGTATAAGAAATCATGTACATTTTGTTTATATTTGGAAAAACTTGAGATGATAGAAAGATTATGAACATTGTTTTATGGTAAAACTCAATGTTACAAGATTTATAAGCATTGATTTATTGAAAAAACATCTAACAAACATTATGAGGAAAACCCATGTGACAAACAGATTAAATGTGAAATTCAATGCTTAAATGAAATTGTTTCAGGAATTAAAAGGTAGTCTTGGAGTAAGACTTGCTCTTGGTGAAACACAAGTTGTCCAGGAGACAAGGGATTTCCTTACAGACAATGGCGTTGCATTGGATAGTTTTAGTCAGGTAAATACCAATTATATACATTTCAGTACAAAACTTTTTCTGATACAACATATATTGTACTCTTGGATATTTACCTTCGACTCAGGTACCCATTAGTGCCTGAAATAATGCACGGAAGGCACCTGAGGTCTTCCTCCACCAGTAAAGCTGGAACGTCGCGATATGACCTATTCTGTGTCGATGTGACGTAAAACCCAAAACAAACAAACAAACAAACAAAACCTTATTATTGGTTTATAAGCAGGAGTGAATAAACATGTATACAAAATAAATTTTATTTTAGTTTGTGTAGGAAGCTAAAAACTTATAGACATACTCTCCCATATGTTCCTTGAATGGACCAGTACTGAGAATAAGTGTTAAGCTTCTTTTGCTCAAGGAAACAATGGTTTGCCCCTAACAGTTTGAAACCATGGAGGCAAGGACCTTTAAAAAAGTAGTTGAACATAATTATTAGCCACTTAATCAGATGTTATTTAAGGTAGGAAGATTTTTAGCTCACCTGTCACAAAGTGAGTGAGAGGGTGAGCTTTTGTGATCGCTTTTCGTCCGGCGTCCGTCCGTAAACTTTTACTTTAAATGACATCTCCTGATAAACCACTAAGCCAATTTCATCCAAACTTCACAGGAATATCCTTTGGTGGTCATCTTTGAAAATTGTTCAAAGAATTTAATTCCATGCAGAACTCTGGTTGCCATGGCAACCAAAAGAAAAAACTTTAAATATCTTCTTCTAAGAAACCAAAAGAGCTAGAGCTTAGATATTTGGCATGAAACATCTTCTAGTAAGTGTCTACCAAGTTTGTTCAAATAAAAGCCCCGGGGTCAAAATTGGCCCTGCCCCAGGGGGTCATTGATTTTCCCTATATGCATATAGTAAAAACTTAAAAAATCTTCTTTTAAAGAACCCAAAGAGCTAGAGCTTAAATATTTAGCATGAAACATCTTCTAATGGGTGTCTACCAAGTTTGTTCAAATAAAAGCCCTGGGGTCAAAATTGGCCTGGCCCCAGGGGGCCATTGATTTTCCCTATATGCATATAGTAAAAACTAAAAAATCTTCTTTTAAAGAACTGAAAGAGCTAGAGCTAAGATATTCAGCATGAAACATGTTCTAATGGATGTCTACCAAGTTTGTTCAAATATGAGCCCTTGGGTCAAAATTTGCCCCGCCCCAGGGGTCATTGATTTTCCTTATATGTGTATAGCAAAAACTTAAAAAATCTTTTTTGAAAAAAAAAACAAACAAATAGCTAGAGTTTAGATACTAAGCATGAAACATCTTTTAGTGAGTGTCTACCAAGTTTGTTCAAATAAAAGCCCTGGGGTCAAAACAGGCCCTGTCCCAGGGGTCATTCATTTTCCTTATATGTGTATAACAAAAACTTAAAAAATGTTCTTTGAAAAAACTCAAATAGCTAGAGTTAAGATATTAAGCACAAAGTATCTTCTAGTGACTGTGTACAAAGTTTATTCAAATAAAAGCCCTGAGGTCAAAATTGGCCCATCCCGGGGGACATTGATTTTTCTTGTATGTGTATAGCACAAACTTAAAAAACTTCTTTGAAAAAACCCTAATAGCTAGAGTTTAGATATTAAGCATGAAACATTTTCTAGTAAGTGTCTACAAAGATTGTTCGAATAAAAGCCCTGGGGTCAAAACTGGCCCTGCCCGAGGTGTGTCATTGTTTTTATCTATATGTGTATAGAAAAAACTTGGAAAAAATCTTCTTTTAAAAAACCCAACGAGCTAGACCTTAGATGTTAAGCATGAAACATCTTCTAATGGGTGTCTACCAAGTTTGTTCAAATAAAAGCCCTGGGGTTTAAACTGGCCCCGCTCCAGGGGCCTATATACAGGTGAGCGACTTCAGGGCCATCATGGCCCTCTTGTTTTCAGAATTGAGAATGGACTTTCAAAAGAAAAAAAATTGTAGCTAATGAAGCTTGTGTCAAGTTAAGGCAAATTTTAGTGTAATTGTATTCAAAACTTTATATTTTTAGCTCACCTGTCACAAAGTGACAGGGTGAGCTTTTGTGATCGCTTTTCGTCCGGCGTCCGTCCGTAAACTTTTACTTTGAATGACATCTCCTCACAAACCACTAAGCCAATTTCATCCAAACTTCACAGGAATGTTCCTTTGGTGGTCACCTTTAAAAATTGTCATTATGGCAACCGAAAGAAAAAACTTTAAATATCTTCTTTTAAAAAACCCTAAGAGCTAGAGCGTAGATATTTGGCATGAAACATCTTCTAGTGAGTGTCTACCAAGTTTGTTCAAATAAAATCCCTGGGGTCATTGATTTTCCCTTTATGCCTATAGTAAAAACTTAAAAATTCTTCTTTTTCAAGAACCCAAAGAGCTAGAGCTAAGATATTCAGCATGAAACATCTTCTAATGAGTGTGTACCAAGTTTTTCAAATAAAAGCCCTGGGGTCAAAATTGGCCCTGCTCCAGGGGGTCATTGATTTTCCCTATATGCATATAGTAAAAACTTACAAAATCTTCTTTGGAAGAACTCAAAAAGCTAGAGCTAAGATATTCAGCATGAAACATCTTCTAATGGGTGTCTACCAAGTTTGTTCAAATAAAAGCCCTGGGGTCAAAATTGGCCCCGCCCCGGGGGTCATTGATTTTCCTTATATATGTATAGCAAAAACTTAAATAATCTTCTTTGAAAAAACCCAAATAGCTAGAGTTAAGATATTAAGCATGAAACATCTTCTAGTGAGTGTCTACAAAGTTTGTTCAAATAATAGCCCTGGGGTCAAAATTGGCCTCGCCCCGGGGGGTCATTGATTTTCCCTATATGCATATAGTAAAAACTTAAAAAATCTTCTTTGAAAAAACCCAAATAGCTAGAGTTTAGATATTAAGCATAAAACATCTTCTAGTAAATGTCTACAAAGTTTGTTCAAATAAAAGCCCTGGGGTCAAAACTGGCCCCGCCCCAGGGGTGTCATTGTTTTTAACTATATGTGTGTAGTAAAAACTTAAAAATCTTCTTTTAAAAAACCCAATGAGCTAGAGCTTAGATGTTAAGCATGAAATATCTTCTTATGGATATCTACCAAGTTTGTTCAAATAAAAGCCCTTGGGTGAAAATTGGCCCTGCCGGGGGGGGATGGGGAAGGGGTGGAGGGGCAGGTGAGATCATTGTTTTTCATTACATGTGTGTATTAAAAAGTTAACATTGTGAAACATCTTCTAATGTGTGTCTTCCAAGTTTGTTCAAATAAAAGCCCTGGGGTTTAAACTGTCCCTGCTCCGGGGGCCTTTATTACAGGTGAGCGACCTCAGGGCCATCATGGCCCTCTTGTTATGATACACTCTCATGTTGGTCTCCTGGAACTAACCAGTACAGGTGTTATATGACAAAACATAGCTTTTGACTTGAGTTTGCCTCTGGGCACACAATTCCTGGTTTGAGAGGCTGATGCCTTAAACTTTAGCCTGCTGCTCCTAGTCTTAAACATAAATAAAGGAATGTCTCCCTTTAGCAAGCAGTCAAAAAAATTTATTTAATTATTTCATGTGTATATATTTGTTTCAGCCCAATGCACCAAGAAGTAAAACAGTAGTACTTGTAAAAAACCTTCCAGCAAAGACAGATATTTCAGAAATTGAGACAGTATTTTCACCGTATGGAAGTCTGGGCAGAGTTTTGTTACCTCCCTCTGGTATAACTGCCATTGTAGAATTCCTTGTACCAACTGAAGCAAAGACTGCATTTACTAAATTAGCATATAGAAAGGTATGTGATACATTTTAAGCTCACCTGTCACAAAGTGACAGGGTGACAGGGTGAGCTTTTGTGATCGCTTTTCGTCCGGCGTCCGGCGTCCGTAAACTTTTACTTTAAATGACATCTCCTCATAAACCACTAGGCCAATTTCATCCAAACTTCACAGGAATGTTCCTTTGGTGGTCACCTTTAAAAATTGTTCAAAGAATTTAATTCCATGCAGAACTCTGGTTGCCATGGCAACTGAAAGAAAAAACTTTAAATATCTTCTTTTAAAAAACCCTAAGAGCTAGAGCTTAGATATTTGGCATGAAACATCTTCTAGTGAGTGTCTACCAAGTTTGTTCAAATAATAGCCCTGGGGTCAAAATTGGCCCCGCCCCAGGGGGTTATTGATTTTCCCTATATACATATAGTAAAAACTTAAAAAATCTTCTTTTAAAGAACCCAAAGAACTAGAGCTAAGATATTTAGCATGAAACATGTTCTAGTGAGTGTCTACCAAGTTTGTTCAAATAAAAGCCCTGGGGTCAAAAATGGCCCCGCCCCGGGGGTCATTGATTTTCCTTATATGAGTATAGCAAAAACTTAAAAAATCTTCTTTGAAAAAACCCAAATAGCTAGAGTTTTGATATTAAGCATGAAACATCTTCTAGTAAGTGTCTACAAAGTTTGTTCAAATAAAAGCCCTGGGGTCAAAACTGGCCCTGCCCCAGGGGTGTCATTGTTTTTAACTATATGTGTATAGTAAAAACTTAAAAAAATCTTCTTTTAAAAAGCCCAATGAGCTAGAGCTTAGATGTTTAGCATGAAACATCTTCTTATGGGTGGGGGGGGGGGGCTATATACAGGTGAGCGACCTCAGGGCCATCATGGCCCTCTTGTTTATTTAAATGCTTGGGATCATAATGACCTGGCTGCACCTTATCTGTGAATTTCAACAAGGTTCTTCATTCTGTCAGCTGTTTAATTTAATCATTTTGATATCAAAACCCCCATTATCAAACATAGAGAGATATAATCTCAAAGCAGGACTAGTCTCTTATAAAACATTATCATTGTAATGTTATACTCTAATCAATATTGTGTAGCAATGTTGTTTGTTGTCTTTTTAGAAGTAGGGACGTGACAAGCAATATTATTTTTAGGCCCTGAGTACATGAATAACATTATTTTCAGACTCCTAAATTAGGATCATTTATTTGTATTTGAGTAATGAACCATCTGTTTAAACCAGGTACATGTATATAAATATTTTTTTTCAGTTTCATCATGTACCATTATTCTTGGAATGGGCTCCAATGGAAGTGTTCTCCACACCACCACCTGACAGATCTAAAGAAACAACTCAAGTAAAGGATGGGGGTGACCAGGAGATGGGAAAGAATACAGAAATAAAGGTGTGACATCTAAATCTGAATAAAATATCTTTTAAATCTTATTGAAATGGTTAAATATATGTATCACTTCATCAACTAATAGTTGCTTTGAAATTTGTAACACCTGAGGTTAGCCAAAATCATCTTTTCTGTTTCAGCACCATGTGACCTATAATGTGTTGGTGTGCCTTAAAACCAAACCAAACAAAAACTTTAGAGCCCTTGACCTCTCACATCCTAAGCAAGCATTTTATTCTAAATTTAGTATTGAAAAATGAACACTGAAGAGTCGTAAAGAATTGAAATACATGTTGCTTGCTTAAAATTAACCTTTTGGCTTTTAAATATGTGTTGTAAATAAAGTAACTAATTAAAGTGATATACATTGTATGCAACTATTCCAAGGGAAGAAGGTAACATGTGGAAAATAGCATGTATTAATATGAGGTTTATGTTGTCTGAGAAAAGTAAAGAAAAACTTAAACTGTTGAAAGTAGATTTAGTTGTAGGTTTTGGTTTAGACAAAAAGTCGTTTTGTGACATTATACTTTCAACCTTTTAAACATTAATTATAGAAAACTGTAATTTGAGAAGATTTTGTAAGATTGTGTGTAGTTAGAATTAATTACCATGGGAACAAAACTGTTTTAAATATATAAAATTTGACATCTCAGCTCCATAAATACATTTATTAGTGTTGAGCCGAGTGAAATCTTTTAATGAATATTTATTTTCAGATTGGTTGAAAGCTGGAAGCAATATGTGTATAATTTTCTAATTCTTCATTATTTATTTTATGCTTTCCGGTGTTTTATTGTAATATATCAGATGATTATATTCTGATAAACCACTAGTGAAATTTATAAAATATAATTTTCACTGTAGCCGGAATATATCTGAATGCCGATGAAAAGAAAATCATAACTAAATGTAATGATAGGCAGAAATAAAAGCCGTCGTACGTAAATTTTGCTTCTTTAGGAAAAGAAAGTCGATGTCATCATACATCATGTTAAAAATGTAACAGAATTAGAAAAATTTAACAGAACTATATTTCAAAATTGATGATGTGACGTCGTGATGTGATGACGTCACAAAGGAGACTGCGTGACGTTACGCGGCAAAATCAGTAGAAAAATAATTAAAATCACTTGAAAGCATGAAATAAGAAGAAAATTTATTTGTTTTACATATAAGATTGAAATATATTTCATTCGTGAACACCAGCTATTCTATTTTCACTCGTGGCTACGCCATCGTGAAAATATTGCATCTGGTGTTCACTCAGTGAAATTATATTTCAATCTTACATGCAAAACAAATAAATATCCTCTATATTATAGGAAGAAAGTAAAAGTAGCAAGAAAGACAGTGATGATAGTGACGACGATGAAGAAGATGAAGTCAGGAGTGTTTTATTTGTGAAAAATCTTCACTTCGACACAACAGATGAAAATTTAAAACAAGTAAGTTTGGTGTTTGATTTATTTGAGGTAAAATAATGGTTGTTTGGCATTGTCTCTTGGTTACATTATCTTATCACATAAACAGCGGCGAAGGAGTTTAATAAAGCCATTTAATAAAAATGATTTTACACTAGTGTAATATCACTTTGACGTGAGGTCATTTGGGCTGTATAGAAACATAGCGTTAAAGCATGCTTATGTTAGCGTTACACAATAGGCGCGTCATTGAAAAATTACTCATTTTAACAGTTTACTGTTCTTATTTTATATATGTGATAAATAGAGTATTATATTCGTGTAGATTCAATACTAAATTTATTGAACTCGTTGAATTAAACAATATCATGCTCGCCAGAGGCACGCATATGATTTTATTCAACTTGTTCAATAAGTTTAGTATTAAACTATACTCATCCAATATCCTCTATATATTGCAAGCTGCTGCCATTTTATCGCATATTTTTTGTTGTTGAATTTTTATACCCCCGCACAACAAAGTTGTAAGGGGGGTATACTGGAATCAGCTTGTCCGTCCGTCTGGCTGTCAGTCTGAGCAAACATTTGATATTAATGAGCTTCATTCCGTAGTTAAATAAAGAACAAAAGCTCATAAAATTCAAATTAAGAGCTATTTTTTTGATTTTATGAGCTGATTTTGCTTATGGACTTTGGTCCAGGTGTAGTTTATGAGCTGACTTACCTCTTAAATATCAAAAGTTGGTACGTCCGTCCGGCAGTCCGTCGGTTTTTTCTTGTCCGCCCAATAACTTATGATTCCTTTGACCCTTAGTCTTCATATTTGGCATGGAGGTTAGTCATGATTAGTAGATGACCCCTAATGATTTTGAGGTCACTAGGTCAAAGGTCAAGGTCACAGGGGCCTTGACTTCAAAAAGCTTGTCCGCCCAATAACTTAAGATTCCTTTGACCCACAGTCTTCATATTTGGCATGGAGGTAAGTCGTGATTAGAAGATGACCCCTATTGATTTTTGAGGTCACCAGGTCAAAGGTCAAGGTCACAGGGGCCTTGACTTCAAAAAGCTTGTCCGCCCAATAACTTAAGATTCCTTTGACCCATAGTCTTCATATTTGGCATTGAGGTTAGTCATGATTAGTAGATGACCCCTATTGATTTTAAGGTCACCAGGTCAAAGGTCAAGGTCACAGGGGCCTTGACTTCAAAAAGCTTGTCCGCCAAATAACTTAAGATTCCTTTGACCCATAGTCTTCATATTTGGCATTGAGGTTAGTCATGATTAGTAGATGACCCCTATTGACTTTGAGGTCAAAGGTTAAGGTCACAGGGGCCTTGACTTCAAAAAGCTTGTCCGACCAACAACTTAAGATTCCTTTGACCCACAGTCTTCATATTTGGCATGGTGGTTAGTCATGATTAGTAGATGACCCCTATTGATTTTGAGGTCACTAGGTCAAAGGTCAAGGTCACAGGGGCCTTGACTTCAAAAAGCTTGTCCGCCCAATAACTTAGATTCCTTTGACCTACAGTCGTCATATTTGGCATGGAGGTTAGTCATGATTAGTAGATGACCCCTATTGATTTTGAGGTTACCAGGTCAAAGGTCAAGGTCACAGGGGCCTTAACTTCAAAAAGCTTGTCCGCCCAATAACTTAAGATTCCTTTGACCCTTAGTCTTCATATTTGGCATGGAGGTAAGACGTGATTAGTAGATGACCCCTATTGATTTTGAGGTCACCAGGTCAAAGGTCAAGGTCACAGGGGCCTTGACTTCAAAAAGCTTGTCCGCCCAATAACTTAAGATTCTTTTGACCCACAGTCTTCATATTTGGCATGGAGCTTAGTCATGATTAGTAGATGACCCCTATTGACTTTGAGGTCACCAGGTCAAAGGTCAAGGTCACAGGGGCCTTGATTTCAAAAAGCTTGTCCGCCCTATAACTTAAGATTCCTTTGACCCACAGTCTTCATATTTGGCATGGAGGTTAGCGATGATTAGTAGATGACCCCTATTGATTTTGAGGTCACCAGGTCAAAGGTCAAGGTCACAGGGGCCTTGACTTCAAAAAGCTTGTCCGCCCAATAACTTAAGATCTAGGTCATAGGGACTTTGACTTCAAAAAGTTTGTCCACCCATTAACTTAAGATTCCTTTGACCCACAGTCTTCATATTTGGCATGGATGTTGATCATGACTATAAGGTGACCCCTATTGATTTTGAGGTCACTGTGTCAAAGGTCAAGGTCACAGGGACCTTGACAAAAAAAAAGCTTCTCTTCTCAATTGCTAAAGAATGTCCTGTCCGCAATGTATTGATTTTGACATTTTCACATTTGAAGCATGTAGAATACATAACTTAGCAATGCACTGGCTTAGTAACCTCAGATTTGGCAGGGAGGTTGTCCTTGAGCTCTAAATGGCCACTGTTGATTCTGACAAAGTGGTATGCGGGGGTATTCATGCCATGATAGTGGCAGTTCTAGTTATTTCAGCATGAGCTCTTGGCCATTTATCATGTACCATTATGTTCTTGGTCTCCTTTTTTGGGGGTGTAGGGGGGGGGGGCTATCGACATTTGCTTATGAACATTTTGACCATGTGTTAAACAAGATTGTTGCACTTTACTTATGACCATTGCCACGAAATCTCTTGTAAGGTTGTAACTTCATCCTCTTATAGAAGAGGAATATGAACTATTTGTTATAGGATATTATATTTTGTTCCTCATGGAATTCAAATATCTACTTCTTTTTTCTTTTTTTTTGCTAACTTAAGCACAAAGTGCTCAGAGGTGTTAAAGTTAAAAACTTAATGAACAGATTGAAGTTTTCTTGTGTGAAGAACTTAAATATTTGGCCCTTAGCATTTCCATGTGGATGTCTGCAAATAGTTATTGAATAATGCATTTGGAGTCAAAAATGATACACCCATTGAGACCTGATTACTGTATAGAAGAATTTTAGCCGTTTCTAGCAGTGTATTTCAGGTGAGCTATCCAGGATTATCCTAGTCCTCTTGCATTATAACATTATTATAACGCTATGTATAACATTTATGTTTGCAGCATTTTAGTGAGTGCAAGGGTTTTAAAACTGCCAATGTGGCAAAAAAGAAAGACATGAAAAGACCAGGACAGACATTGTCAATGGGTTATGGTTTTGTGGAGTTTATAACAGACAATGGGGCACAAGAGACTATCAAAAATATGCAGCATACCAGCCTTGATGGTCACTCACTGGAACTGAAGGTCTCAAATCGTACCACTGCAAGGTATGTTATGCCTTAGAGTTGACTTTTAAGTTTTTTTGAGACGGTCCATTTTGAATTTGAGGCCCTCATTTTGGTTTTATCACATACAATAAAGAGTGTTTTCTACGCTTTTTAGGTGGCCGAAAATGCCTTTGAGACAGACTCCAGCTGCCCCTTTATGACAACCCTGGGCTATATTCATAATGATGTGACAAATTATTTTGTATCATGGTTTTGCTTCATGAATAATTGGTTATATTAGAGTTGTTTATTTCTAATATCTTTGAATTCATAACTGTGATAAATAAATTTATGGAATAAAGTAGCCTGAAATGGTGTTATGTCTAGCATAAAGTATACTACCTTGAACTCTGATGTATCTAAAATGTAGAGATATATACATGTATATCTGGAATACAGTACTGGCATGCGAGCAGTTCCCGTACAAAAATCGTAGTAACTTAAACATTATTTTTTATTACGCTCACTCACCAAAATTTGAATGTTACACATCAATATTTGGCTCGTCACACAAATCATGGAAATTCCATCATGTTCTAAACATAGAATAACCCTTAGTTATGAGGCCTCATATGGGGTACCGAAATTATCCATTATTTTGTATGAAGAGAAGTAGTTCCCGTACATAAAATTTAACCCATTATAATTATACAATTTTATTATATCGGACCTATTTTTCATTTATAATTGTTGAACAGACCATTTTCTAAGAGATAAATAGATGTAATTCAGGAAATAGAAAGTAGACTAAACGCGTGTATCTATTACCCGGTACCGTTACCCCCAACGCATTCACATGCGATGGCATGCTTGTATACACGATATTTTACGCATCAAAGCCGTAAAATTATTTTATATAGTAATATTGGTCAAAATTCTGATAATTAAACAAGTTTTCATCACATTGCCTTCTTATCTGTAAACATGTGGTATTAGTGGAAAACCCTTTAACATGCCTCATGTGTAAGTATGTTTGCGCATGCGCGCAAGGACGGAATCCCCCAGATATAACAAGGTCACGTTTTGACAACGCATAGGTGAAAGTGATTTAAAATGAGACTTTTTATACGTACTGCCAAACTGACACTTAGATTTTGTCTCGTTTATGTATCTGTTTGATTTGAAATGAATTTTTGAAGAATGCATGTAAAAATCAAGCGTTTAAATGAAAAATACGGGTACTGCTTCTGTACGAGAACTGCTCGCATGCCAGTACATGTACCCAATTTAATTTAAGCACAGTGATATACATGTATATCATCGCTTTTTTCCTCCTATAGCAGGGGCTGTTAAAAGGGTTGCTTCCCAGTAAAAAATTCTTTAAATCATGCAGATTTTCCCTAAATAAGTATGTTTTTTCTACCCCTGTAGCAAAAAATGCTGTGTCATTTTTTTCTCCAATTTAAGAGAACAGCTCTTTCCTCTACTTGTGAAAATAGAGTAGAGCTTATTAGCCTGAACATATATAGATTTTAATAAAGCAGTATCTCTCAGACTGTGTCATTGGTTTTTCTCACTTCATTGAGGAGAGGCCAAAGTCGCTTGATTTTGGGAAAAAATATTGCTAAATTTAGGAAGTAAAAAAGCTTGTGTAAGTTAAGATTTTCTGAGAAAACTGCATGATTTTAAAGAAAAATTCAATTGGGAAGAGGCCTCTTTTTAGGCTTCTGTTATGTAAAGTGAAATTCCTATGTTTTGTAAGGTGAAAAGTTATTGAGTGTGCAGGGTATGTACTTTCATTAAAAGAACTCCACTGAGGTCCAATAGTTTAAAATATAAAATTTGTCATTTTTTCACAGATTAACTGGAGCACTTATAATGAAATAATATGGAGAAGATATTAATAAAATATAATGCTTACTCATAATTAAGTTGAAAAACATATTTTTGTGCAGTTCTTAGTGGAAGTTGAGTTAAAAGTTTTCATAGATCAATTTGTTGCCTTAGTGCAACAACGGAATAAGTCTTCCTAAATCTAAAAGCAGTTAATCAGTTATTGCACTAAAGTAACGATTAAACTCCAGATTAAATTTAAAATCTATTTTTGTATGTTTTCTTAGCTTAGTTTGAGTAAAAATCATTTAAACGTTTGTCATTTTGCTCAATGCAAATTGTTATTTGTATACTGGAAAAATAGTGTTGGAGAATCATCAGATATTTTTCACACAAGTTATTTATCTAGACCTATTTAACCAAATAGTAAACAAATCTAGAAATGTTATAATTTCCAGTCCCAACATATCTAAAGAAAAACTTTGTTGAGTCCTTTTAATTAGCTTCAAAGTATAGATTACCAGTACTAAATCATATGTTTTACAGTACTACAAATGATAAAAATACAACAAAGAAACAGAAAGAAAAGAAACAGAGAAGTACAAAAATTTTAGTGAGGAATATACCTTTTGAGGCAAAACAGCATGAAGTTGTTGAGTTGTTCAAGTAAGTATCTGTTTGACTTGAAGTCACTTTGCATTGTTCATATTTTATACTTCTGTGTGATGAATGATTCTCAGTTGAATAATGTTAATTGAATATTTGATTAATTTGGATGATGAATCATTTTCTAAACTACATATTATTTCTACAGTGTCAACCATGCATTCTGATATAACCATTAGCTGTTTGTCCAGCCATGCATCTTCAAAATAAGTTTAGAATAAGTTTGTGAAATGGTAAAAGAGGGGCTTCTGTGGCAAAGTGGTTACGGTCACCAACTTCTGTTCACTTGCCCCACACCGCTATAAGTTTGGATCAGTAATAGATTCTATTAGTTTATATGCAGTTGTTATACATCTTATAGACAGAGACATTAATTAATTGCACCCTTAGATTATTATACCCCCACAAACGAAGTTTAGGGGGTGTATATAGGAGTCAGCTTGTCGGTCGGTCGGTCCGTCCGTCGGTCCACATCATGGTTTCCGGACGATAACTAGAGTTTGGAATGAGGTATTGTAATCAAACTTGGTATATAGCAACCTTATGTGGAAACTCCGGTTGGTATTGCATTTGGGGTCAAGGTCAAGGTCACCGTTACTAAAAATAGAAAAATGGTTTCCGGACAATAACTAGAGTTAGGATTGAGATATTGTTATCAAACTTGGCCTATAGCAAGCTTATATAAAGACCTGGGTTGGTATTGCATTTGGGCCACCTGGGGTCAAGGTCACCGTTACTAAAAATAGAAAAATGGTTTCCGGACAATAACTTGACTTAGGAATGAGATACTGTTATCAAACTTGGTGTATAGTAAGCTTATATGAAGACCTGGGTGGGTATTGATTTTGGGCCCCCTGGGGTCAAGTTCAAGGTCACCATTGCTAAAAATAGAAAAATGGTTTCCGGACAATAATTTGACTTAGGAATGAGATATTGTTATCAAACTTGGCGTTTGCAAGCTTTTATGAAGACCTGGGTTGGTATTGCATTTGGGCCCTTGGTATTGCATTTGGGCCCCCTGGGGTCAAGGTCACCGTAAGGAAAAATAGAAAAATGGTTTTCTGACTATAACTAGAGTTAGGATTGAGATATTGTAATCTAATTTGGTGTAAAGGAAGCTTATATGAAGACCTGGGTTGGTATTGCATTTGGACCCCTAGGGTCAAGGTCACCGTTAAAGTGTTACTAAAAATTGAAAAATTGTTTCTGGACAATAACTAGAGTAAGGAATGAGATATTGTAATCTTGGTGTATAGCAAGCTTATTTCGAGACCCCAGTTGTGATTACCATTAATTGAAATATTTCTTTGTACACAGTTGATAGTTTGTGTTCAAATTTTTCTTCAGACTACTTTTTTTTCAAAAAGTCAAAGTTGCTGGTGAGGGTATTAATCACCTTCAGTGATAGGTCTAGTTTGAAATACTTACAATTGAATTTGTTTTGATGTGTACAGGGTATTTGGAGAGTTGAAGAGTGTAAGGCTGCCGAAGAAGATGGGAGGTACAGGGTCACATAGAGGCTTCGGTTTTGTTGACTTTCTTACAAGGCCTGATGCTAAGGTTTGTACTTAAACCTTTAACAGTAAATATAGAGGATATTGAATGAGTGTAGGTTCAAAAACAAGTAGAATAAAATGATATTATAATGCCAGCCTCTGGCAAAACTATATGCATGGCTATGCAATCCCATTTTTATGCAGTCGCAAAATCGACAATGGCTTGTGATAAAAATGATAAGATTAACAATATAGGGTCTGTCCTGTTGGCACAGTAATCTTGTTTGACATGACCTTACTGTTAGCTGTTTCATTTCAATGTTTTGATATTGATATCCTGTTATTTCTTCTGTCTATAACTTCTCATAGACAGTTTAAAATTAAAGCAAGGTAACCATGTAGCATTCATTTTTAACTTCATCAAGCAGTTTTTTCTCTTATTTAAAGGGACACCACTGAGGTTTTTGTGTCATCTTAAAAAGCGACTTATAGGGGTTACTTTTGTCTGCTGCATCGGCGTCGCAGCGTCCCCAAAGGCTTGTCCGGAGCATAACTCAGTCACTATAATTCGGATTGACTCTAAACTTAGTATGCATGCTTCTTTCAATAACCCAAAGGGCAGTCCACAGGAATTGTTACTCTGCACTTCTTAATTTTTGAGTAATTGCCCTTTGTTAAATTTCAATACTTGAATTTTGTCCGTGCCATTTCTCCTTAACTATAAAAGCTATGGACTTGAAACTTCATAGGATGATAGATCTCATTAAGGAAAAGTGCAGTGCACAAGAACCGGTACTCTGCACTTTTTTTTTTTGAGTTATTGCACTTTGTTAATTTTCATACCTTAATTTTTGTCCACGCCATTTCTCCTTAACTATAAAAGCTATGGACTTGAAACCTCATAGGATGACAGATCTCATTAAGATAAAGTGCAATGTTCAAAAACCGGTACTCTGCACATTTTTTTAATTGCCTTTTGTTAATTTTCTTACTTTATTTTTGTCTGGGCCATTTCTCATAAACTATAAAAGCTATGGCCTTGAAACTTCATAGGATGATAGATCTTACTGTAAATAAGTACAGTGCACAAAAAAACTGATACTCTGCACTTCTTATTTTTTGAATTATTGACTATGTTAATTTTCATACTTTATTTTTGTCCGGGCCATTTCTGCTAAACTATAAAAGCTTTGGACATGAAAACTTCATAGGATGATAGATCTCTTTGAAATGAAGTGCAGTGCACAAAAACCTGTACTCAATGATTTTTGAGTTATTGCCCTTTGATAATAAATTGATTATCTTTTACTTTATTTTTATTCCGGCCATTTCACCTAAACCATAAAAGCTATGGACTTGAATCTTCATAGGATGATAGATTATCAGTTCAAATGCCACTAAAATTCAAGGTGCATGTACATTGTAAGGACGGTGTTTATAAATTACATATATTTAAGGTACTCCTTTGGATGTTTATCATAATTTGTGTTCTATATAAGAAAATTTAATTGCTTTGTTTGAAATGATAAAGAAATAAATTCTAATAAATTTAATTACAGAGGGCATTTGAGTCACTTTGTCACAGCACTCATTTGTATGGAAGAAGGCTGGTTCTAGAATGGGCAGATAGTGCTGAAGATATTGATGATATTAGAAAACGGACTGCTGAACATTTCCATCCTGATGCTGAATGTAAGTACTTGTGTACTTTAATTAAAATCAGCACTTTATCCCATATAAACACATTGAATTAAACTTGTTTTTATATGAAGGGCAAACATGAATTTGTTAATGTTATGTTTAAATAATGATTTTGCTTGTTACCTTTAGCAAGAAATTATAATTGTAAAATAATGTGCCATAAAAGTAGCAAAATATAAACAAAATAGCATTTTGACTTCATACAAGACAGTTGTTTGTTTGAAGAAAAAATATCACTTATGTTCTCATCCAAACTAAACCTATAGTGTAATATAGTTGAATATTGAAATATAGGTTCATCTGTAATGTTTTTTAAATAAGAAAATAACAAAGATCTATTTCTAAATCTGTAGAACTTAACATCTTCTAATCTAGTTATTGTTTCCCACACATACTTATTTCCGTTATATGAACAGTGATTTAAATAAGATGTATGATTCTTCACAGTTTATCTATACAAAAATGGGGTGATGTTTCAAAGAACGCGCTGATATTCATAGTTTTTACAGGGAATATTTTAATAATTGTGAGACAATATAATGGAACAAGAAATTTACTACTAGAAAAGCAGTCTGATGATGATGGTGTCAAATTGACAGCGGATCATTCGATAACCGTAGAATTAAAATCGTATATTAATGCTGATGTCATGAAAAATACATTGCTAAAATTTTTGTAAAATCATGTAAAAACCATTTGGATACTAAAAGGACTGTTACAACCTTTCACTAGATGGCATATACTTCTCTAATTTACATTATTCACTATGGATAAACCCTAACGATCAATTAGACAAAATGGTGACATGTGTGCCAGGTTGGATGATAAGATAACCATGACGCTAATCACCGGTTGCTTTTTCCCTTATAGTTGTCCCAGGTGACGTAAACAGTTACTATATTGATTATACTTTAATCTAAATCATCAAGCTAAAGCAGTTTTAATTGAGCCTATATATTTCTTTGTTTTACAGATGGTGGAAAAAAGAAATTCACAAAAGCTGGTTTGAAAGAAAGCTTGGATATGGGCATGGATGAATGAATAAAAGGAGAATCTGGACTTGCATCAAGAAATGAAGACTGTTTAAATTTGTTAAATTATTTGTTGTCAAATAGTTACTCTGTTATTCTTGTTATTTGGATTTTATTGTTATGGACTTTAACATCATGTTAATCATGCCACTGGGATCATTTGATTTAGAGAGACTTAAGTAGGAACAACATTTTTATGTCTTCTTTTGTTAAATTGCAATACACAGAGCTTTAACTGATATTTGGCATGTAGCATTGCCTTGTGAACTTCTACAAAAGTTGAATAAAGCCAAAAGTGGATCGCCATGGGGGTTCACTTGATTTATACTGTATATACATGTAAAATAGAGATGTATTAAAAAACTTTTATTGCGAAAAGCTTTGATGTTTGGCATGTACTCTTCAAAAGTTATTAAAATCATGCCCAAGAGGTTAAAATTGATTTCACACAAGAAGATTTATATAGGCTTATAGGAAAATAACCTTTTACGGTAGTTGTTTCTGGGACAGAATATTCTGTCCCAAGTTATTTCTTTTTTACAAAACTCGATGCCCAGAAATAATATTTTGGGCATGTAGCATTGCTTTGTGGTCTGTTATAAAAGTAACATAAACCATGTCCTTGAAGACAACAAAGGTCTAGCCTTGGGGTCACTTAGTTTGAATAGACTTGCATAGTAAAATCCTTTAAGTCTTCTTGTATGATATTACCATGCCCAGAGTTATGATATTTAGCACATTATATTTTCCAGGGGACATTTGCAAATGTTTAAAAAAAATCTACAGCTGGGGTCAGAAACGATAACCAATGTGACTTTATTACTGACTTGCATGAAAAAATAATGGCTATTTCTAGTAACGTTTCTCCAGTGAGGTATCCAGGGCCATCACGACCCTCTTATTTGTTTGTTAACTTGTCGAGACAAGCTTTTTAGGATCTGTTCACTATAAAGCAATTATAATGTTCGAGCGTGCTTCGGACAGCTCTTATGTTTGAATGTATTATTCTAAATATAAATAAAATTAATAGGGATATAGGCTTGTTTTTGTATTATCCTTAACAATTGACAATTTAGTTACCTACAAGTGTTTACGTCTAAGGTAAGAACAGGTTGGCTGTATGTGTCAAGGGTTTGCCTAAAATACGAAAGTGAGATTTTTGACGAAAGTGAGCGAAAGTGACTTTTAAAATATTAATTGTAACGTTTTAATAGACTTTTACAATAAAATTGCAGTTTGTAGACGTATATTATTAGAAATTACTTATATTTATTATGAAAAATAATCATAATGATTTATTCGGTTTTTATTTGCATAATTTATATACACAAATTCTTATATCTTCCTTTCGCTTACATTGAAAAATACGAAAGTGATATATTTGATATTCTGTAAGTCACTTTCGTCAGACTCACAGTAAGCGAAAGGAAGATCAATGTCTGAGCTTGTGTATAAATATTATGCTAATAAATGAAGATCATATTGATTAAAGATACTAGTTTTGATAATATACGTCTACAAACTGCATTATTAATATTAAGTGCAATTAAAACGCTATATTTGATATTTTTAAAATCACTTTCGCTTAACATTGAAAATACGAAAGTGAGCGAAAACAAGATCTCTGAAATTGCTATATAGAAATAATGAAAATGCATGAATATTAAAACCTCATAATGATTTTTAAGTATTTTTTATTCATTTTTGAAACTATGTGTCTACAAACTGTTGTATTAATATAAATTCAAAATAAATGGTATAGTGAATGTTTTATAAGTCACTTTCGTATTTTTCAATGTGAGCGAAAGAAAGATCTAGATGTAGTTGTGTATAGAAATTATGCAAATAAATAGCGATTAAATCATCATATATATAATAATTATTTTTGAAAATGAATATTATCAATTTCTGATAGTATACGTCTACTTAGAGAAATTTTAGTAAAAAATCAACTTAACCAGTATATTTAATATTTCATATGTCACTTTAGTATTTTTCAATGTGAGCGAAAGGAAGATTTCTGAACTAGTGTATAGAAATTATGCAAATAAATGGCGATTAAATCATCATAATGATAATTTTTAAAAATAGATATTATCGATCAAATTCCAAAACTATACGTCTTCAATCTTTTATAATTATATAGATTCAAATTAATCGCTATATTTGATATTTTGAAGTCACTTTCGTATTTTTTCAATCTGAGCGAAGGAAGATATCTGAACTTGTGTCTAAAAATAATGCAAATAAATAGCGATTAAATCATCATAATGATTATTTTAAAAATAGGTATCATCAAGTTCTGATAATATACATCTACAAATTGTAATTTTAGTAAAAATTTCAATTAAAACAGAATATTTAATATTTTATAAGTCACTTTCGTATTTTTCAATGTGAGCGAAAGGAAAATATAAGAACTTGTGTATAGAAATTATGCAAATTAGTAGCGATTAAATCATCATTATGATTATTTCTGTTAATAAATATAATTATTTTCTAATAATATACGTCTACAAACTGCAAGTTGGTTTTAAAAGTCTATTAAAATGTTATAATTACTATTTTAAAAGTCACTTTCGCTCACTTTCGTCAAAAATCTCACTTTCGTATTTTAGGCATACCGATGTGTCAACACAAGTTGCATTAGGAGCCATCTTGCAGAAGCAGTAATTTGAATAACATTAGTGGCCAAAATTAGGACTGAAATAATAAACGTGTATTTTGCTGTAAAGTGGTTTACATGACTTGTTAAGCAAATATGTATACCATATAAATAACCATAGTGAGAGTTTATATGTTTTAATGACACACCCATAAATTGTACTAAAATAGTTACCTAATAGGAAAAGAAATTAGACGATAGAAGTCACCCCATGACCTTTAATTAATCATTCAAATGGTGACAAGCTTTGTGTTATAGTGGGGGGATTAAGATTGGCCCTCGTCTGTCTGTCCATGCGTTCTTATGTGCCACATGTAGCTCTAAAAGTGCTTGAGCTAGAGTCAACAAAATTTACAGGTGTGTTGATTAGCACCAGAAGTTATGCACCAGGGGTTTTGCTTGTGGTTTAATTTTTTATTTTTGATGTACTATAATATTTGAAAAGTAACTGATTTACCAATTATCAAAACCATTTTTAACGGCTTTTCACATGACTTGTCATTTGTATAAAACAGGTTTCTAATAAATTGGGACAATCAAGCCTCCAAAGTTGTGTCCCCTTTGTCACCAAATGTTTCTGTTATTATTTTCTATGAGTTTCCCTAATTCAATATTTCAACAGAGAAGACAGTCGTATATCCTTCTGCTGAGATGCATATAACTAATTATATAATTATTTACATATGTCTTAAATGTCAGCTTTTTTCTTCGGTTTTATTTACTGCTGATGTGTCCGATATTGCGACGCACCCTGCAGTTTTTTTGTTGTTTCTTTTTGTTATTTTATTATATTTTTTAACCTTAAGAGTAGGGTATAATACAGCAGTTGCCTGTTTTAGAAGTATACAACCCTTCTTCTGAACAGCTCTGTTAATTAAGGTCTGATATGAAAGGCCATCGGTTTCCTTCCAAACAAATATGCGACCTCTCATTTACTTTTCTGGCGCATTACTATGAACCACGATTCCATTGCAATTGTTAGATATGGTGTATTCAAACCATTTGTAATGTTACACGTCTTGCTATGATTGCATCAATTGCCAAATCTTGTTGTTTTTTTTACATCATTTTATACATTTTGATATCATTGTTCATCTCTACACTGTCATATTTGCATCTACTTACACAAAGTGTACGGGTTTCAGCACACCAACATATAGCAAAAGGTTCATCTACATCCTCAAGAACAGTTTTCATGTATTTACACTCATGGCTTGCTAAGTATATTGTTTTGTTAGAAATGACTAATAAGGATCCATCATTTAACAGTGTAATACCCCTTACGGAACTAATTCCTGCTTTTTCCATCAACTCTCCCTGCCAGTTAAACCTCATAACTGCACCATTGCGATTGTCAGAGACATAGATTGAATCATAGTTTGTAGTGACAAACCTAGCTAACCTGAGAATACTGAAACCACTGAAATCCGTATCAACTGTAATTTCAGTATTATCTTTCAAGTCCATTATTTGGAGTTTAGCAGGTTCTTTAAATGTTACTGCAAGTTTCCCCTGATGATGACTGATACCATAACACCGTCCATCTACCTTCAGTTTGTTTCTTGGTGAAAGTGAGCCCGAGGAGAATGAAACGAACTGTATTGTCTCACTATCCGGTAATGTAACAGCAAGTGAATCACTGGAGACAATGGTGACATCCCAGGGTGCTGAGTCAAGCTGTACTTGTTTGATAGCTCCAGTTCTAGTGTCTATCATTTTAATTGACTTATTAGACTTATCTGCTGCAAATATTTTGTTTGGAGAAGAAACAGTAAAACCAGTAATGTAGCAATTCCTTTTATCTAAGGATGTTTTAGCATTGATATTTCTAGGAGTAGACATTTTCATTGGTTGGGCTGGCTGCTCCAGTTTTTTATTGTTTAATATTCCTAATGATTTCTCGTCTTGGAGGACCTTTTTGATAGCCTGATTTGGTTCAAAGATGTATTTGTCAACTGTTGGTAGTTCTGACGTTCTTTTTTCGCAAGTTTGAATCAGTTGCTGAGCTATCTTAAGTTCAACAAACAGTTGCTCAGTTTTCTTGTGTGAATTGAGATGTTTAAGAGAATCAGCTGATGCTTGGAGTGATTCGTTGATGGCACCACATGTTGTTTCTGTTGTATTCAACTTTTCGTTGTTGTTGTATTTGATTGTTTTTGCAGCATCTAAAACATTCTTTTCTAATTTGCCTAATCTATGGTTACTCTCTTTTCTGAAGTTTTCTATTTCTGCGATAGCATCTTGTACTGAAGTCGTTGATAAAGCAACTCTTTGATGCAGATCGTTAGTTATCAGGCACCATTTGTATGTCAATATGTCAATATCTTTCAGAGTTTCCTTGAACTCGATGCTGTCTATAATCTGCCCTGATATATCAGGTATGTAGTCCACATGACAGGATGTTGGTGTGTGTTCAAGGGTCACACATACACTACATACAAGAGCATTGTGGTCCTGGCAATAAAATTTGATTGCTTCTTTCGTGTGTTTAGTACAAGGCTTTGTTAGATCATCGACTTGTATACTGGGAGCAGACTTCGATGATTTATGGAGGTATTGTTTTTGTGGCATATGATCTTTGTCTAGCAGTTGGTGATGGCGGGATGGTTTGGGTCGCCGATGATTATTAAAGCAGGTATGGCATAAGTGTTCCTCACAATCTACACAGTAACCAAAGGCAGGAAGCCTGATATCATCTCTGTCACATGTTTCACAGAAAATGTCGAAATCTTCAGCACAGCCTTGAGATAGTATGGATGAGGATTTCCGAGATGCCTTTTTACCCGGGACAGCCATATTTAGATATCTAGAATAGACAAACACAAGATAGTTATTAACATCAAACAGTGATTATTTTGTTACTCATCTTCACTTTTTACTGATTTTATTACTATTTGCCTTGAATGCTTCTTCTCTACGGAGCCCCTAAGGTGACATTTTCGACACTTTTATTCCCGGCATTTAATTCGTTTTTACGAAATATCAATTTGTAATTACGAAATATTAATTCGTAATCATGAAATATTAATTCGTTTTAACGAAATTTTATTTAAGGTCATTGTTAGCTCATTGTGAGGTCAAGGTCAATATCACCTTAGAACTGAAAACAGTTTGCGGAGCATAACTAAGTTCCATATGGCCCACAGTGTTCAAACTTCATAGGATGATTGTCCATATCGGGTAGAAGACCCCTATTGATTTTAGGATTACAAGGTCAATGCCATTATTACTTTAAAACTGAAAACAGTTTCCGGAGCATAATTTAAGTTCCATTTGGCCCAAAATATTCAGACTTCATAGGATGATCGTCCATATTGGGTAGAAGACCCCTATTGATTTGGGGGCTACAAGGTCAAAGGTCAAGGTCCCTTTTACCTTAAAACTGTTAACAGTTTCCAGAGCATAACTTAATTTCCATTTGGCCCACAGTGTTCAAACTTCATAGGATGATTGTCCATATTGGTTAGAAGACCCCTATTGATTTTGGGGCCACAAGGTCAAAGGTCAAGGTCAGTATTACGTTAAAACTAAAAACAGTTTCCGGAGCATAATTTAAGTTCCATTTGGCCCACAATATTCAAACTTCATAGGATGATTGTCCATATTGGGTGGAAGACCCCTATTGATATTGGGTCACAAGGTCAAAGGTCAAGGTCACTATTACCTTAAAACTGAAAACAGTTTTCAGAGCATAACTTAAGTTCCATGTGGCCCACAATATTTAAACTTCATAGGATGTTTGTCCATATTGGGTATAAGACCCCTATTGATTTTGGGGTCACAAGGTCAAAGCCACTATTACTTTTAAACTGAAAACAGTTTCCGGGGCATAACTTAAGGTCTGTTCAAACTTCATAGGATGATTGTCCATATTGGGTACAACACCACTATTGATTTTGGGGTCATAATGTCAAGGTCGTTATTACTTTAAAACTGAAAACAGTTTCCAGAACATAACTTAATTTCTATTTGGCCTAAAATATTCAAACTTTATAGGAGGATAGCTATTTGAAGGAGGTAATACTTTATTTAATTTATGTAATGTCTTACAAAAGCTTCATCCTTACTAAAAAAACACTTTCGGGCATATAATGCTCGCCTAGCGGTGCTCTTGTTCCCCATTGTCAAAGACATGTTCCTATCAGCAATGTTTTAATTGTTGAGACAATTAATCTTTTCTGACATGTGTTTTTAAAAAAGGAACATGCTTATATTATTACTTTCTGTGATCATATGCATTAGTAAAACTAAAAAGGGGAGCTCCAGATTTTCACTAGATCTAATCCAATCAATTTAAAAAAAGTATATTCTCTTACAATTTATGTATGAGCACCGTGCGATCATAAAAAGATAGTATTTTATTTCAAAACTCAATAATATCGACAAAACGAACCAGAAAAATGTCCATGTTTGGATTTGAAGCTTTAACAAAATATTCTTAGCGCGTGTACTAACACGGCTGTGGCGGCAGAGCTATTTACAGGCGATTAATTTAATTTATTACATGCTTTTCGGTGGTTTATAGAAATATATCAGTGATATAAAACTGATAATTTCACTATTTTAAACAGTGAAATTATAAATTTGATAATTTCACTGTTTTAAATTTAAACCATTTACGTTGTTTCAGTGAAATACCAACGTGCACAGTACTTGGAACCAACATTATGACGTGACGTCGTAAATGACGTCACGTTGTATTATTATTTGGCGCGCTTTTCATTCAGTATTAGGTTTAATTAATGTCTTTCTGAAACGTTTCTATGCGTATGACAAAAACAATTGTTTAGTTTAGTCTAAGATCAAAATCAATTTCACTTTGTGAACACCAAAAGTTCACATTCCACTCGTGGCTGCGCCACTCATGAAATACATGTATACCTTTTGGTGTTCACTCGATGAAATATATAGAGGATATTAAATGAGTGTAAGTTCAATACTGAATTTATTGCACGAGTTGAATAAAATTATATTATGCGAGCCTCTGGCTCTTATAAAGACTAATAAAATCTAATAAAGACCGTTTAAAGTGAAATAAGAGTCATTTTTCATTGACGCGCGTACAGTATAACGCTTACATTTAGCGCGGCTTTACACTATGTTTGTTTAACGCTAATGACGTCACGTCAAAATATATGCACGGCCGTGCAATACCATATTTATGGAGTCGCAAAATCGGCACGTATGTGTGATAAATTCCGATCTAACACTGAACTAAACAAATGTCCTCTATATATACAGTAGTGTTAAGTTATAAAACTTGGGGAGAAAAAAAACACTATTTATATTGCATTTACATGCCTTATATTTAGTCAGGAACATAGTTTCGAGGACTTCTTTATAAATATTACCAAAACTTTTTGAAACCCTAGAAAAAATTTAATTCGTTTTTACGAAATATTATTTCGTATTTACGAATTATTATTTTGTAATTACGAAATGACATTTCGTAAAAAATGAATTAATATTACGTAATGACGAAATAATAATTCGTTAGTATGAAATATTATTTAATTTTACCCATGAAATATGGTGTTATATCAGACAAATATATTTTATATTTTTTAGAAATAAATATGAAAAATAAATATGAAAGTGGGCGGAGTCAAAACTCATATTTATTTCAAGGGACTTCTTTCGACAATTTGTTTGAAAAATCTGATAAATGCAAAACAACTTTTTGTTGAATTTTGCTTTGAAAACTATCTAGAATGATAGAAAATTGTCTAACTAAGAAAATTAATCCGAACACCAATATCTTTAATTCAGTTATTAACGCTGTACAGACGTTTAAACAGTTGTTTACGTGACGTCACAATGTAGCGCCAAATATCGCGTGCAAAACAAGACGCATTAATATGTTACTGCGCGCTGTACAATTGCAGTTGCGTAGCAAGCAATAGGGTTCGTAACAATTTTTTCTTTGATAATGAAATTAAATAAAAAGGTTATTTTTTCGTTTTTCGTGAAATATGGTATATATTTACACTCAACGTGATAAAATGCCACATATTTTCACTCGCCGTCCCGGCTCGTGAAAATATGTGGCATTTTATCATGTTTCGTGAAAATATATTCCATATTTCACTCAAACGAAAAAATATCCTCTTAATATTTCGTAAATATGAATTATTTTTTCGTTATGACCGAATTGATATTTCGTAAAAACGAATTAATATTTCGTTATTACGAATTAATATTTCGTAAAAACGAATTGATATTTCGTAAAAACGAATTAATATTTCGTAATTACGAATTAATATTTCGTAATTACGAATTAATATTTCGTAATTACGAATTAATATTTCGAAAAAAAAAACGAATTAATATTTCGTATTTACGAATTATTATTTCGTTATTACGAATTATTATTTCGTAAAAACGAATTAAGTTTCGGGTAAAAAGTGTGGAAAATGTCACATTAGGCGCTCCGTACTTCTTTAAATATGATGTTGTATTGCCCTTTTTTATTAAATCCTTATCAGAAGATAGCAAATCCTTACTTTCAAACATGATTTACATTTAAATAATTTTCAGTTTGTTCGGACTGCACCGGGTGAAATTTGATCATTTTAATTTCATTACAAAGTTCTCAAAAAATAGATAAATACAGAATCCCTAAAGAAAGCCCAACACGGCAAAATTGAAAATGTTGCAGGCTCGGTTTGATTGAGCCTGTTCATGGACGGTACTGGAAAGTGCAAGTTACCGTCCACGCCCCCTAGCACCGGCTTAAGCAGAATTCAACATTTAAACATGAAATAGTAAAATTTTGAATTTAGAAACATCCGCAGATGTGTTCATACGGCGGTTATCATGGAACCTTCAATGTGACACAGTAGTGCCATTCCATGAAAAGCGGCGTATGGTCCCCAAGTAATAAAAAGCGTTTGCCCTAAACGAGAAAACAATGAGCGGAACTAAATAAAATGGAATTTTGAAAGGGGATCAGAGGTTATGAAGCCTGCGTATCACAGATAAGACGTCAAAAGACAAATTTAAAAAGCAGGCAACATATCCTAAGGGTGATTCAACATTATTCAAGTAGGAATATTGGAACCACCCAACTAGAAAATGCCGAAAAGTTGAAACTGAAAATACCACAAGCACAACAATACGGGAAATAAGTTTTAACAAGGCAGTCTAATGAACAGCTAAATCCCCATCCCCAGTGAACATGAATGTGTACTTTTTAACTTTAATCAATCATGATCTTGATTTTGTTCCATGCATGTCATAAGCACATGGTCTGACAATGGTGATTATTTGTGCAGTTATTTAAAATCTTCCATAAAGTGAACATATAACATTGACCTTGGGGGAGCAACCTGGATGTTGTGCTCTACAGATTGTGTGATTGTGGGGATCACTTGCGGCAAGTTATTTTAAAACCTTTGAATTGACAAAAAGTTATAGAGCAGATATGAAAAATAGTTTTTACATTGGACTTTTGAGTGTGACCCCGACCTTGAGGGTAGCAATCCAATTATTGCGCTCTGCAGATCGTCTCATAATGGTGATTACTTGTGCCAAGTTATTAAAAAGAATTCAGCTGTTTAGAAGTTATGGAGTGGACACGAAAAGTAGACTTTTTACATTTGACTTTAAGTGTGTCCTTGACCTTTGGGGTAGCAATCCAATTATTGCGCTCTGCACATCATCTCATTATGGTGAACACTTTTGCAAAGTTATTTTAAAAAAACTGTTCAGCGCTTTAAAAGTTATTGAGGGACACGAAATGTAAACTTTTTAACACTTGACTAAGAGGCTAAGTGTAACCTTGACCTTGGGTTAGCAACCCAGTTATTGTACTCTGCACATCGCCCCATAATGGTGATCACTTGTGCAAAGTTATTACAAAAATATTTCAGAGGTTTAAAAATTATGGTGCAGACACGAAATATAGACTTTTTTACATTCGACCTAAAAGTGTGTCCTTGACCTTTGGGGTAGCAACCTAATTATTGCGCTCTGTACATCGTCCCATAATGGTAACCAGGTATGCCAAGTTTTTTTTAAAAAATCAGCAGTTAAAATGTTATGGAGCGAACACTAATGTAGAACATTTGACCTTAAAATGTGACATTGACCTTTGAGGTAGCAACCCAATTATTCCAATCTGCAAATTGCCTCATAATGATGATCACTTGTGTCAAGCTACTTAAAAACTTTTCATGGTTTAAAAGTTATGGAGCGGACACGAAATGTAGACTCTTTACACTTGACCTTTAAGTGTGACCTTGAACTTTGGGGTAGCAACCCAATTTTTGCGCTCTGCACATTGTCGCATAATGGTGATCACTTGTGCCCAGTTACCTAAAATCTTTTCAGCGATTTAAAAGTTATGGAGCGGACACGAAATGTAGACTTTTTATACGTGACCTTTATGTGTGACCTTGACCTTGGGGTAGCAGCCCAAATATTACGATCTGCACATCGTCTCATTATGGTACCAAGTTATTTAAAACAATTTAAGCGCTTTAAAAGTTATTGAGCTGACATGAAATTGTTTCGGACGGACAGACGAACGGACAGACGGAGGCCATTCCTATAATCCCCTCCCCGCTATTTTGAGCTTTTACACCGTGTGAGTATGGTACGCTAATTAGACCGGATAGCTGTGTCGCTTTTGACAGATTTAAGTTCATTAATGCTGACCTATACATAATCATGAAGGGGGCTTCAGAAATAGAAAGATATAAGTCTTTGACTTCAAAGGCCAAACAAACAAAATTGAATCATTGGAACTGATATAGAGATAATAGACGGGTACTGTAAATGATAATCTCAAGGTTAATCGTAGCCTGGGATTTAGGCGTTGATACTTTTTGCTTATTTATAACATACGCGCTATTTCATACTCGATCGTGATAGATAACGTACAACATATCTGGTTTTGATAGTATCATGTCGATTTGGGGTCGATTTGCCGAACAGAAACACATAAAAATCGACAGACTGGAACCCAGGCTAGGTTAATCGGGTTGTAGGTTAAAGTTAGACTTTTCTAACATGAAAAAGAAATTGTCTTGACAAAGCTAACAGAATATTTAAACATAGATATTGAATAAATAGAGGTTATTTAAGTTTTTTCTATAAAAACATGATTTATTTCATTGAGTTTTATGAAAATGAATATATCTTGAGTGACGGTTTGCCATGAGTGAAATATGATAATTTTCACACCACAAGATGAAAAAAAATACTTAAATTTTCTGTTAAGTATAATTATACAGTTTTATTTCTTTACACCAGTAAAAATATGGAAAATATGTTTCACTGCAGTGAAAAATAAATTTTAACAGTGAAAGTACGGGAAATGAGAAAACGCATATCATTTCATTACTATTTCTCAATGTTTCATTTATAAGTATATAATAGAATAACATACCAGTGATTTATCCTGTTCGATTGGATATTGTTAATACACAAAATAATTTAGATTCCTATATACATCTTAATATATCTAATATGTCAAAACATGTCTTAACCACTGGAATGTCTTGTAAAGATAAAATGTAGTTATTGTGTTACCGCTCATTTTGGACTCGACTATTATACTGGCGGAAAGGGCAGAGACTTAAAGGCTTTTATACCTCTTGGTGTTCAAGTTTAATTTTATAATACTGATTCTTAAAATCTTGAATAAAAATTACCTGTTATTTTATTTGTTTCGGTACGTCATACTGCACCGAACACTACAATCATGTACACATGATGATTAAACCTAGCAAACAATTAGTATTAGCTAAAGAAAAACAGTTAGTTAAAGCAGGCAAAACATATACGGACGGAATCAGATCTACGTAACAGAACTAGGTTGATCTGAATTTTAGTCAGTCAGGGTGTTGGCCATATGCCTGTCACTCGGGCGCAACGTGGTACACATACATAGCTTGAAAACAATAATTCAGTGTTTGAAACAGGAGATAGTATGTGACTGGCCGGATAGCTAAGTCAGTAGAACCGCGGTACGATATTCCGAGGGTCTTGGGTTCGGGTCCCGGGCAGGCTACACATTTTCTCACCCTGTGACACTTGAGGTCCAAAAGTAAAACGGCTTGTCTCATTTAAAATCTATGCTATTTAAATAGGTAGTTCAGGCAGTGGATGAAATTGAAAACTGCATTTTCGTTTGCTGTTTAAAGTTTTACATTATTTTGTTATTTTGCAGTATTTTGTTCTTTTGGACAGTTCTTTTTTAAAATCTAAATACTTGCCAAGTACATATTGTTCTAAAGATTTTTTGTTATATGCCTAAAATATAAGGACCACATCTAAAACAGAGGAGGGCTACCAAAAAAGATTGACATTTTTTGAATATACTGATATACTGTGGAAGTTAACTGTACAAAGTCAAATGTTTTGATGTATGGCGCGATAGCTCAGTTGGCTAGACCACTGACTGTCACTCCTGAGGTTCCAGGTTCGATCTTGGGTAACACCCTTGGGATTTTTCAGAAACACTTTCAGTGTTTCCCACCTAACTAGAGGTTTACTGATACGAAACCCAGGTAATCTTCGCATGTATCAGTGCTATACACTGGGCATGTAAAAGAACCAAGGAATCTATTCAATAAGAGCTAGGGACTGGTTCCCGGATTTCCTTGTATCTGATAGCTGTCTCTAGTGTCTGCTGAGGTAAGGACCCTACTGGAAATAAGTGCTTGCACTTTCGTAGGTTATCCTTGACCGCCCGGTCTAAAGAAAATCAATCAATAAATCTTTAAAAAAGACGGATAGACTTAGACAGAATTTTATGTTTTCTTATAAAGCCTACTGACTTGAAACAGTTAAAACGTTTACATGTCTAGACCAAAAAAAAATATTTCAGCGCATGTTTTAATGTAATTCGAAACTCATTGTATTAATTTGAAAACGAGCCAATACGATTTCCTTGTATGTCAGTTAAACATAAACTAGATCTGTTTTATAAAGTTATTTTACCAATCCCGAATCTGGGGATAGTCCGGTGTAAGAAAATATACATTTAAAGTATTGTAAGAAGTTGTTATGAGGTAAAAGACAAACAAAAATACTTTAATGTATAGTGAACTGGTAGAACAATGAGTGCTGTTAACGTTATAAAATACTGGTTAAAACTTGTTTAGTCAAGTAGTACAAAATATGTCAAAGTTGTGTAGAGATTTAGAAATAAAACCATATTCAATGTCATGGGCTAAGTCTGTTATGTTTTTGTAACAGTCTTTAGGTTGTCTGTCTGTATGTGCGTATGTATGCTCATGGATATACTGCCCACATGTATTTTGTAATCAAGTCTAAAATCATATGTGTTCATCTTTACTGTTAAGAAACGTCGGACGGGGACAAAACAAATTTATAAACTTCCTGTGGTAATCAGTAAAGTTTAGATGTCTATCATCACTGCAGCAATTTGTCAACACTGGTGTGTTTACACCCTACCAGCAAGAACAGTTTTCCCTCCTTTTGTCAATTTGTAAACACCCAAAAACACCGGATGTCAAATTGTACTTGGAACTAGCAGTACAGACCAAAATCCATTAGTAACTAAAAATGTCATATGCCAAAGTTACAAAAAGGGCCTACATTAATCAGATTCGCTATAATTTCATAGAAAATGGAAACAACACTCGGCGGCATAAACATACATATTAAAAAAATATCATATGCAATGTACCTAAACAAAAAACACGCATAAGTGTGTGCTCACACAAATTGTACAGAAAATTGGAAAAATGACTAATTTATAATAACCTTTCAAGCATACCAAACCAATATGCCGACAAGCTTAAACATCTCGATCTTAACTATAATAAATCAGGTAACAATCATAACAATAACAAAACCTCTGTCAATATCGTAAATTAAAAGAATTTATGTTGAACAAAAGCACTTCAATTTATGCAATAGATAACATGTCCTCTAAGAGATATTGGATAATGGATTTATTATAGATTGAAGCTGATGAAGGACACGAAATTAAAACTTTATTTAAGCTAAATTTTAGGAAACTTTATGTTGAATGTACACCCACTCAAATCAACTTCCTGTAACTAACCAAGACCGGTGTCACACGAGTATACGTTGGATTACGAGTATATATTGGACCAAATTGGCATCAAGCCAATCCAAATGGTTTTTATAGTGTGTGAACGGGTGAAAGTCGAAATAAGTTTATATTTTGTCACAATTCCTTTCAATTTATTTCGCATGGACGATAAATATTTTGCGTGGCCTTAGAAATATTATGTAAATATCCGTCGGAATTCCCCTGTAATGTTAAATTATTAAAAAGAGCGGGGGAGTTTGTATATATTAAAGCTAGATTGATATTTCATCCTGAGCATTTTACAATATAAACTGCTGACCAATCATCATTATAACAGTCTTTTAACATAAGTTCGTGACAAATCTTATAGACGGTTCATTTTTAACGTCAATAGATAATTATCCACACATGCAACCTTTAAGTTTACTTTGAGAGGCTTCATCAGACATCTGCACTTATTTTGCAACAATTTTAATTATACATTTTTGAGTCCTTTAATGGCTTATTATCTATAGGCTGAAATATGTGTACAATAAAAACACTATTTCCATTGAAATATTTACATACAAAACTGCAAAATTACTTTACATATCTTACAATCTTTTTATCAATAAGAAGCAAGTCAACAATATTCTGTCAACACTGCTGAAACGTATGAATACAATATATACAAATATGCAAATAAATAATGTGATAAAAACAGACATTAATGTGTACATCACATTTGTAATTCTTTTGTAAGATATGAATACTTCTGTAACCATTCTTATCTTTTTGTGGATTTTACAGTGTCTTTATAAAATGAAAAAAATATTTAAAAAAAAATGTTCCATTGTACTATCTATAACATGTCCAAAGTCATATAGGACATTGTTGTCAAAAATCCTTCACAGACGTATTGAATGATGGTTCGGTATAAAATCATTAATAGTTTTATGTCTTGTTCTGACTGCATCAGTTGTCATCTCTTTGTCCTACATCATTTTATACAGCTCTATTTGATTGTTTCCTCTATTTTGTCGACGCTGTGGTATCTACTAATACAAAGCGTGCTGGTCTCAGCACACCTACATACAGCTTCAGGATAATTTACAACCTCAAGTATAGATCCACTGTCTTTACAGTCACCTCTTACTTTATATATACAATGACTGCTACGATCTGTTACTAAGAATGACCAATCATCTATAAGTGTTATACCACTTGGTTCCATTATTCCAACATGTCTTAACATCTCTCCGTGCCAGTTTAACCATAAGATAGCGGCCTTGTCACAGTCAGACACATAGATTGAATGACTGTTTGTTGTGATGTAAAAAGGTTTGCTAAAATATTATCACCATTGGAATCTTTATCAACTGTAATTTCAGTATTACCTTTCAAGTCCATGATTTTGAAGTTTAGTAGGACTTATAAATGTTACTGCAAGTTTTCCCTGATGAATGACTGATACCAAAACACTTTGCATCTAACTTTCAATTTGTTCTTTAGTGAGAGAGGGTTTGAGGAGAAGAAATCATCTGTATCGCTTCACTGTTTGGTAATGTAACAGCAATTGTAATCTTTGTTGATTTTGGTGACATCTCTAGGTTCAGTTACAAGCTGTAGTTTACTTTGATCGATCCACTATTGATATAAATCATTTTTTAATTGCGTAATTATTGAAATCTGCTGCAAATAATTTGGTTTTTGAGAAACAAGCATGCGTGTGCCAAAATACAGCAATCCTTTTTCATCGAAGAAATGATTTTACATTGAAATTTCTAGGGATACGACATTTTCATTCCTGCGGCAACTTGACTCTTCGGTAGAGTTAACTGTTTCAATTTCTTATTGCTCAATGTTCCTAATGAATTTCTCATTCTGAAAGAGTTTTTTTGATTGCTTGAATTTTGGTTCAAAAATTGTATTCATAAACACAATAAACTGTTGGTAGTTGTGATATTCTTTTTTTCATTATTTCGAAGCAGTTGCTGAGTATTTTTTTAGTTCAGAAAATAGAAGGTCAACTTTCTTGTTTCTATTTAGATGTTTAAGGGAATTTGGTTGATTCTTTGAAATGATTTGATGATGTCATTAACATACTGTTTTGCTGTTTTTCAACTTTTTATGGTTGTCATGTTGGATTGTTGTAACGGTATCTTTAACCTTCTTTTCTAATTCATCTAATATTTTATTTATCTCTTTTCTGAAGTTTTCTATTTCTGCTAAAGAATCTCTCAGAGAAGTTGTTGACCCGGCGGACTTTTTGTTTTAGGTCGTTTGTGAACTGGCAGCATTCGTCTGTCAGTTTTGTCAATGTCAGTCAGAGTTTCCTTGAACTCAGTGCTGTCTACAATCATGTCCTGATATATCAGGTATATAGTCCACCTGAACAGGGACGTTGTTGTGTAATCGAGGGTTCATACATACACTACAAATAAATCATTATGGTCTTTACAATAGAATTTGATCACTTAGTTGGTGTGTTTGGTACATGGCTTTGAAAGATCACTCGTCTTACC